TGCGCAGGGCATGACATGAGGGAGAAGAAGAGAGAGAAACAGACGCACAAGGAGGGAGCGCATGTGCCATTTTCTCCTGTCGACAACATGAGGCTACTTGCTACGACGCGTAGAGTGATAGATGACTTATAGATTTGATGACCTAGCGAATATGAATGTATGTGCTTGTTATTATATACGCAGGCGGGCAGAGAAAGGGGGGAGGGGCGAGGGAAAAGGGAGGGGAGTGGGGAGCAGAAGCAGAACAGAAGAGGGAGTGGTGGATGAGCTCCTGGCTCTCTGTGCTGTGCGCCCCTCCCTGGTTGGCCATGCCATGCCATGCCATGCCATGCCATGCCATGCCATGCCATGCCATGCCATGCCATGCCATGCCATGCCCGGGAGGGATATGATAGATAGGAAGCACAAAGAAGAAGCAGAAGCAGGAATGTGATATGACAGGGAGCAGATATGCATGGGCCATGCCCAGGGATGTCCAGGGCGGTTCGAGGGGGGCTGTGAGGGGCTGTGAGGAGAATTGGGGGGTAGGGGGGCCTTAGGGGGGCCTTGGGGGGGCTGTGGGGGGGTTTTTTCAGGATTTTAGGGGGGTTTTCTTCCCCTCTCTTGTACCCCATTTCTGCTTATTAACCAATCACAAGCAAGCTTTCTGCCATCACCTTTCCGATTACGCTCATGTTGTCGCCTTGCCGCCTGAGGAGGGGGAGGGGAGTAAGGGGGGAAGGGAGAGGAGAGCAGAAGGGAGAGCAAGGGGGGATGAGAGAGACGATATGCGCTGCTTGTTTTGATTTGCACACAGAAGGAGAGTGTGAGAAGGAGAGTGAGAGAAGGAGGGTGTGAGAAGGAGAGTGTGAGAAGGAGTGCCATACAGTGAAGTACTCGGGTATCTTGGGCACTGCAAAGCAGAAGCGTTGCAAGGAATGTGATCAAGATGATCCAGGTGGTCCGGGGCCCTCCTCCTGAAATACGTATGTCAAGATGTTGACCAGAGTGGGAGCCAGGGCAGTGTATGTAAGGGGTGGTGTATGTAGGGGTGGGCAGGGCAGGTGCAAACGTAGGGGATAATGAGTGACAGAAACTGAAGGGAGAGTGAGAATTGAATCAAAGAGGGGGAGAAAGAAGAAAACTGGCACAAGTTCACTACAGGTAGGCAGGATAAGTGACCAGCACAGGGGGGTGAAGTGACAAGGGCAGGGGGGTGAAGTGACAAGGGCAGGGGGGTGAAGTGACAAGGGCAGGGGGGTGAAGTGACAAGGGCAGGGGGGTGAAGTGACAAGGGCAGGGGGGTGAAGTGACAAGGGCAGGGGGGTGAAGTGACAAGGGCAGGGGGGTGAAGTGACAAGGGCAGGGGGGTGAAGTGATGAGACGTGCTTTCCTCACACCCACTGCCCCACACCCACTGCCCCACACCCACTGCCCCACACCCACTGCCCCACACCCACTGCCCCACACCCACTGCCTCACTCCCACTGCCCCACACCCACTGCCCCACACCCACTGCCCCACACCCACTGCCTCACACCCACTGCCCCACACCCACTGCCCCACACCCACTGCCCCACACCCACTGCCCCACACCCACTGCCCCACACCCACTGCCCCACACCCACTGCCCCACACCCACTGCCCCACACCCACTGCCCCACACCCACTACCCCACACCCACCGAGTGGCTGACTGCTGGGTGGCCTTGGCATGCCGCAGCACCGCCTCTGCCAACTCACACGGCGACACCCTTCCCTGCTCTCCCCCTGCCTCCCCTTTCTCCCCCTCCCCTCCCTGTCCCTCCTTCTCCGGTTCCTTCTCTCCTCCTCCTGTAACCTCTTCCTCCTGCTCTTTCTCCTGCTCCTTTTCCCCGGCCTTATCCCCCTCCTTCCCCTCCTTGTCTCCTTCACCCTTCTCCTCCTCCTTTTCCCCTTCCTCCGTCTTCCCCACCTCCTCCTTCTCACCCTCCTCCTCCTTCTCCTCTCCCTCCTCCAACTGCTTTCCTCCCTTCTCTCCCTTCCCCCCCTTCCTGGCATCCTCTCTAATCCTCACGAACAGCAGTGCCTTGCACCCAGACTCCACACTCACGAACCGAGGCTGAGGGACGTCAAGGGGCGGGCGAATGGTAGGGGCAAGGGGAGGGAGAAAGACGAGTGGAGGGAGAAAGACGAGCGGAGGGAGAGGAGACGTGATTGGAAATTGCACTGAGCATTCTCACGAACAGCAGCGCCTTGCACCCAGAGTCCACACTCGCGAACCAAGGCTGTGGGATGTCGAGGGGAGGGCGAACAGCAGGGGCAAGGGGAGGGAGAAAGACGAGCAGAGAAAGGGGAGTGAGAGGGAGAGGGAGGGGTGATGATGGATCCTCAGAAACAGCGGCGCCTTGCACCTAGACTCCACACTCACAAACCGAGGCTGAGAGGGAAGGGGAGGGACAAGACGAGGGACAAAGGAAAAAAAAAAAAACGTTTTTTCTCAAACAGCAGTGCCTTGCACCCAGACTCCACACTCACAAACCGAGGCTGAGGGATGTCAAGGGGCGGGCGAACAGGAGGGGCGAGGGGAGGGCAAACGGTAGGGGCAAGGGGAGGGAGAAAGACGATGGGAGAGAGAGGAGGAGCGATAAGGGTTTCCACTTAGCATTCTCGCAAACAGCGGCGTCTTGCAGCCAGCAAGAGTCCAAACAGCAGCGCCTTGCAGCCAGCGAGACTCCACACCCCGAAGTGAGACCAGGTGAGAGCGTTCAGTCAGGTGACTTTTGAGTCGACTCAAAAGTCACCAGGTGAGAGCGTTCAGGACAAGGGGAGGGACAAGACGAGGGGCAAGGGGAGGAAGAGGGAGGGAAAAGAGGATTGCGAGAGAGGGAAGTGATGGGTGTTTGTGCTGGGCATTTATGCGAACAGCAGCGCCTTGCACCCAGACTACACACTCATGAACCGAGGCTGAGGGCCATGCACAAGGAAGGGAGGGAGAAGAGAAAGGAGGGAACAAGGAGGCGAGGATGCACAAGGGGAACAAAACAGGGGCACCTGGTAGCCTGAGACGTCTCAAAACAGGGGCACCTGGTAGCCTGAGACGTCTCAAAACAGGGGCACCTGGTAGCCTGAGACGTCTCAAAACAGGGGCACCTGGTAGCCTGAGACGTCTCAAAACAGGGGCACCTGGTAGCCTGAGGTCACGATTGCAATCGAGCCTGGGGGACACAGGGAGAGGGAGGGATACGAGGGGAGGGAGTGGGAGGGAGATAAGGGGAGGGTGAAGGAACAACAAGGGGAAAGGAGGGAAAAGGCACCCACCTACCCATCCCACGCACCTGTGAGCCGCTGCAAAACACACACACCTGTTTCCTCAACCCCCTCTCCACACGCACGCACCTGTTTCTTGAGTGCTGCCACTTCATTCGCCAGCAGCGCATCGATGGACGAACCCCCCTTCGCCTTCCCTGCAGATGCACCTTCCCCAGTCCGTGCCTCCCCCTCCCCCTCCCCCTGCGCCTTGCCAGCCTCCAGCTTGTCACACCACTGTGTGTGGGGCAAACAGGGATAAAGCAACATCATCTCAGTCAGATAAGCCCTCCCCAGCCACCTTCCCCAGTGCTTGCCTCCCCCTCAGCCCGCACCTTCATGGGCACCAGATTGTCGCTCAACGGTGTGTGGGGCAAGCAGTGGAGATGGAAGGAGTAGGAACAACATCAGCTCAGTTAGAAAAGCCCTCCCCAGCCACCTTCCCCAGTGCTTGCCTCACCCTACCCGTTCCTCTGCGCCTTGCTGCCTCCAGCTTGTCACACCACTGTGTGTGGGGCGAACAGAGGAGAAAGCAACATCAGCTCAGTCAGATAAGCCCTCCCCAGCCACCTTCCCCAGTGCTTGCCTCCCCCTCAGCCCGCGCCTTCACGGGCACCAGCTTGCCGCCGCACAACGGCGTGTGGGGCAAGCAGGGGAGATGGAAGGAAGAAAAGCAAAAACAGCTCAGTCAGATAGGCCCTCCACAACCACTTTCCCCAGTGCTTGCCCAGTCATCTACTATCTACCTACCCTCCAGGTTCTATCGTTTGCCTGTGCGCTCCACTCACCTCCTTGCCACCTCACCTCATCAAGCTGATCCCCTGTGCATGTCACGGCATCACAAAAATCAAGTGGCGGGAAACCTCTCATGAAGTGTGTTTGTTGTGTTTTTGCATATGATTTGAAGATGTAGGGGTTGGTACTTTTTTAGAAGAAAGTATCTAACTTTTTCCAGATGATATGTCAGATGCTTTGCCAATGATCTGTGTGTTTTTAAACAGTTTGGAAATGGTTGTGAGGAACTTCTCATTGTGTTTGTGATAACTTGTTTAAATCATACTATGTGCTTCAATTTTGGACTTGGATAAGGTTTGCAATTAATTTTTATATGCATATAATAATCTTGGAAAGGGTTTATGGGGTATTATAAATAAACATAATCAGAGTTTGAAAAACCCAGTTGGTAGTTTCTTTCGCACTTTCCATAAATACACACTAAGAGGGAAGGCATGTACGTGTAAATCATAATATTAGCTTGAAAAGGTTTACAACACACTAGATGCCTACTTATTCTCTGGTTCTTAGCTACTCTACTAATCATCCTTGGTTAATGACACCTGCGCTACTACTACTCACTATCAACCCTAGGTCCATACTCTGCTTGGGTCTTCCTAGCTGGCTACTCCCCGCTGCATCCTCCCTTCTGTGCTATTATTTCTTAACCCCGCCCCCTTGATGTCAATCCTTGCTTCGCCCTCATGTTGTTACTACTGTGCTCCCCTCCCTGCTGTTACTCCTTCGCACCTCTCCTTGCTGATACTCCTCTCCTCCCTTCCTCCCTTCCCTGCTGTGGTTCCCCTGCTCCCCTCCCTGCTGTGACTCCTCTCCTCCCTTCCCTGCTGTGGTTACCCTGCTCCCCTCTCTGCTGTGGTTCCTCTCCTCCCTTCCCTGCTATGGTTCCTCTGCCCCCCTCCCTGCTGTGGTTCCTCTCCTCCCTTCCCTGCTGTGGTTCCCATGCTCCCCTCCCTGCTATGGTTCCTCTCCTTCCTTCCCTGCTGTGGTTCCTCTGCTCCTCTCCCTACTGTGGTTCTTCTCCTCCCCTCCCTGCTGTGGTTCCCCTGCTCCCCTCCCTGCTGTGACTCCTCTCCTCCCTTCCCTGCTGTGGTTCACCTGCTCCCTTCCCTGCTGTGGTTCCTCTCCTCCCTTCCCTGCTGTGGTTCCCCTGCTCCTCTCCCTGCTGTGGTTCCTCTCCTCCCCTCCCTGCTGTGGTTCCTCTCCTCCCCTCCATGCTGTGGTTCCTCTCCTCCCTTCCCTGCTGTGGTTCCCACGCTCCCCTCCCTGCTATGGTTCCTCTCCTCTCTTCCCTGCTGTGGTTCCCCTGCTCCTCTCCCTGATGTGGTTCCTCTCCTCCCCTCCCTTCTGTGGTTCCTCTCCTCCCCTCCATGCTGTGGTTCCTCTCCTCCCCTGCTGTGGTTCCCACGCTCCCCTCCCTGCTATGGTTCCTCTCCTCCCTTCCCTGCTGTGGTTCCCCTGCTCCTCTCCCTGCTGTGGTTCCTCTCCTCCCCTCCCTGCTGTGCTTCCTCTCCTCCCCTCCATGCTGTGGTTCCTCTCCTCCCTTCCCTGCTGTGGTTCCCACGCTCCCCTCCCTGCTATGGTTCCTCTCCTCCCTTCCCTGCTGTGGTTCCCCTGCTCCTCTCCTTGCTGTGGTTCCTCTCCTCCCCTCCCTGCTATGGTTCCTCTCCTCCCTTCCCTGCTGTGGTTCCCCTGCTCCTCTCCCTGCTGTGGTTCCTCTCCTCCCCTCCCTGCTGTGGTTCCTCTCCTCCCCTCCATGCTGTGGTTCCTCTCCTCCCTTCCCTGCTGTGGTTCCCCTGCTCCTCTCCCTGCTGTGGTTCCTCTCCTCCCCTCCCTGCTGTGGTTCCTCTCCTCCCCTCCATGCTGTGGTTCCTCTCCTCCCTTCCTTGCTGTGGTTCCCACGCTCCCCTCCCTGCTATGGTTCCTCTCCTCCCTTCCCTGCTGTGGTTCACCTGCTCCCTTCCCTGCTGTGGTTCCTCTCCTCCCTTCCCTGCTGTGGTTCCCCTGCTCCTCTCCCTTCTGTGGTTCCTCTCCTCCCCTCCCTGCTGTGGTTCCTCTCCTCCCCTCCATGCTGTGGTTCCTCTCCTCCCTTCCCTGCTGTGGTTCCCACGCTCCCCTCCCTGCTATGGTTCCTCTCCTCCCTTCCCTGCTGTGGTTCCCCTGCTCCTCTCCCTGCTGTGGTTCCTCTCCTCCCCTCCCTGCTGTGGTTCCTCTCCTCCCCTCCATGCTGTGGTTCCTCTCCTCCCTTCCCTGCTGTGGTTCCCACGCTCCCCTCCCTGCTATGGTTCCTCTCCTCCCTTCCCTGCTGTGGTTCACCTGCTCCCTTCCCTGCTGTGGTTCCTCTCCTCCCGTCCCGGATGTGGTTCCCCTGCTCCTCTCCCTTCTGTGGTTCCTCTCCTCCCCTCCCTGCTGTGGTTCCTCTCCTCCCCTCCATGCTGTGGTTCCTCTCCTCCCTTCCCTGCTGTGGTTCCCACGCTCCCCTCCCTGCTATGGTTCCTCTCCTCCCTTCCCTGCTGTGGCTCCCCTGCTCCTCTCCCTGCTGTGGTTCCTCTCCTCCCCTCCCTGCTGTGGTTCCCCTGCTCCCCTCCCTGCTGTCACTCCTCTCCTCCCTTCCCTGCTGTGGTTCACCTGCTCCTTTCCCTGCTGTGGTTCCTCTCCTCCCTTCCCTGCTGTGGTTCCCCTGCTCCTCTCTTTGCTGTGGTTCCTCTCCTCCCCTCCCTGCTGTGGTTCCTCTCCTCCCCTCCATGATGTGGTTCCTCTCCTCTCTTCCCTGCTGTGGTTCCCACGCTCCCCTCCCTGCTATGGTTGCTCTCCTCCCTTCCCTGCTGTGGTTCCCCTGCTCCTCTCCCTGCTGTGGTTCCTCTCCTCACCTCCCTGCTTTGGTTCCCCTGCTCCCCTCCCTTCCCTGCTGTGGTTCACCTGCTCCCTTCCCTGCTGTGGTTCCTCTCCTCCCCTCCCTGCTGTGGTTCCCCTGCTCCCCTCCCTGCTGTGACTCCTCACCTCTCTTCCCTGCTGTGGTTCCCCTGCTCCCTTCCCTGCTGTGGTTCCTCTCCTCCCTTCCCTGCTGTGATTCTCCTGCTCCTATCCCTGCTGTGGTTTCTCTCCTCCCCTCCCTGGTGTGGTTCCCGTGCTCCTCTCCCTGCTGTGGTTCCTCTCCTCCCCTCCCTGCTGTGGTTCCCCTGTCCCCACATCTGCTCTTACTCAAAGCTCGGAGCACTGCAATTCCACCATTCATCTCCTCTAGACATGCACTGACGCCACCCTCCTTGTCGGATTGCGGGGTTGTGGTCTTGGCCTATACTCCTCAAACCCCGACTCATGGACGAACAAGCCAAAATTCCCCCACCTAAACCCCTTCATCCGTGGGTCGTAGACAGGGTTCACCTGGCTGAAATGATCCGTCACCGCCCGCTTCACCGCCCTGCGGATGCTTGCCACCCACCGCGTGTTCTTTCGGTGGGAGTTTGTGAGGTTCATTGTCGACTTCTTGACCTTCGACAAGCCGTAGTCTATCTGCATTGTCAAGATAGGGGAGCATGGACAGATTCAAGCGTGATAAGTGTGAGAGGTCGGAATCATGTGGGGCAAGCACAACATGCAGTGACGTACGCCATGGTGGTAGAGTTTGAGCATGAAAGGTGATAGAGGAGTGGGGCAGCCTCTGAAAGGAAGAGGAAACCAAAGAGTGTTCGGAAACACGGGAGGGGAAGGATACTGCTGGGTACTGCATGGACGTGAGGGGATTGGTGAAAAATATAAACAACGTAAGCCCGTGAGTGAAAGCGTGAACCCAGAGTGGGCGCAACTCCAGAGGGCAGTTGGATACCAAGGTTTCAAGAAGCACCTGAGAGGGAGGTGGAAACACGGGGGTTTAAGGTTTACAAGGGATGGCACGGGTTTACCAAGGAGAAAAGTGTGGGATGAGAAACAAGTAAAAGGACCCTCACAAGCCACTCACCACCAAGATAGTCCAAGCAATATGATACGCCTTCAAGCATATGTCGTTCCCCATGGCAAATTCACCGAAGGCGTCCATTGCTGCGTTGAAGAAGATCTCGTTGCCGAACGGGAGATCAGTAACCTCAGCATTTCCCCATGTGCTCAGTTGGGCGTCCACACCTGCAACACACTCGAACGAAGGTGGTTCAAGGGGTGGGGTGTGAAAAGGGAAGAGGGTGGATGGGCTGGCGAATCACAGGTTTCTACAACGGTCTATGTAAAGGAAATGCCAAGCTATGGAGTACAGAATATGGGGTGTTGCAAGAAACGGGTGCTAGGGCTGAGATGGTGAAACAAGGGGGAGGGGGGGGAGGGTGGGGGAAAAGGTCAGGCAGGTGTTTACTCACTCGGGCCATACTCCCCCCAGAGATCCTCCTTGAGCTCGGTGTCGATGTGGATTTCCGCTGCCCGCAAGCCACTCATAGGAACCCCCAACCCCTCGAGCACGGTCCGTTTGATGTAAAACCCACGCTCGTTCTTCCACTGCGTATACACGCGCTTGAATGCATCCCTCCGTGTTTTATCCGCCATGGCCTCCTTCAGCAATATCAATGGAACCACATAATGCTCAGAAATGACTTCATGTAAAACAAGAATCCGCTTCTCAAAGCTTGGGTAGAACGTGACAAGATGGTCCTCAGCTTCCATGCACATGCGCTTCCTTGCTTCTTCCATGTACAGCTGTTTAAAATGAGAATGTAGGGTAAACCAAAGAATGGGAATGTGGGGTATTGAGAATGTGAATGAGTCACTACAGAGAATGTGACCAGAGGGTGGGATGAGAACGAATCACAGCAGAGAATGAGACCAGAGGGTGGGATGAGAATGAATCACTGCAGAGAATGAGACCAGAGGGTGGGATGAGAATGAATCACTGCAGAGAAGGAAACCAGAGAGCGGGAATGTGAATGAGTCATTGCAGAGAATGAGACCAGAGGGTGGGATGAGAATGAATCACTGCAGAGAAGGAAACCAGAGAGTGGGAATGTGAATGAGTCACTGCAGGGAATGAGACCAGAGGGTGGGATGAGAACGAAGCACTGCAGAGAATGAGACCAGAGGTTGGGATGAGAATGAATCACTGCAGAGAAGGAAACCAGAGAGTGGGATGAGAATGAATCACTGCAGAAGGAAACCAGAGAGTGGGAATGTGAATGAGTCACAGCAGAGAATGAGACCAGAGTGTGGGATGAGAATGAATCATTGCAGAGAATGAGACCAGAGAGTGGGGATGTGAACGAGTCATTGCAGAGAATGACACCAGAGGGTGGTATGAGAATGAATCAATGCAGAAATTGAGACCAGAGGGTGGGATGAGAATGAATCACTGCAGAGAAGGTAGTGGGAGGCATGATGGCAGTGGGAGGCATGATGGCAGTGGGAGGCATGGTGGCAGTGGGAGGCATGATGGCAGTGGGATTCATGATGGCAGAGGGAGGCATGATGGCAGAGGGAGGCATGATGGTAGTGGGAGGCATGATGGCAGTGGGAGGCATGATGGCAGAGGGAGGCATGATGGCAGAGGGAGGCATGATGGCAGTGGGAGGCATGATGGCAGAGGGAGGCATGATGGCAGTGGGAGGCATGATGGCAGTGGGAGGCATGATGGCAGTGGGAGGCATGATGGCAGTGGGAGGCATGATGGCAGTGGGAGGCATGATGGCAGAGGGAGGCATGATGGTAGTGGGAGGCATGATGGCAGTGGGAGGCATGATGGCAGTGGGAGGCATGATGGCAGTGGGAGGCATGATGGCAGTGGGAGGCATGATGGCAGTGGGAGGCATGATGGCAGTGGGAGGCATGATGGCAGAGGGAGGCATGATGGTAGTGGGAGGCATGATGGCAGTGGGAGGCATGATGGCAGTGGGAGGCATGATGGCAGTGGGAGGCATGATGGCAGTGGGAGGCATGATGGCAGTGGGAGGCATGATGGCAGAGGGAGGCATGATGGTAGTGAGAGGCATGATGGCAGTTGGAGGCATGATGGCCGTGGGAGGCATGATGGCAGTGGGAGGCATGATGGCAGAAGGAGGCATGATGGTAGTGGGAGGCATGATGGCAGTGGGAGGCATGATGGCAGTGGGTGGGAGGCATGGTGGCAGTGGGAGGCATGATGGCAGTGGGATTCATGATGGCAGAGGGAGGCATGATGGCAGAGGGAGGCATGATGGTAGTGGGAGGCATGATGGCAGTGGGAGGCATGATGGCAGAGGGAGGCATGATGGCAGAGGGAGGCATGATGGCAGTGGGAGGCATGATGGCTGTGGGAGGCATGACGGCAGAGGGAGGCATGATGGCAGTGGGAGGCATGATGGCAGTGGGAGGCATGATGGCAGTGGGAGGCATCATGGCAGTGGGAGGCATGATGGCAGTGGGAGGCATGATGGCAGTGGGAGGCATGATGGCAGAGGGAGGCATGATGGTAGTGGGAGGCATGATGGCAGTGGGAGGCATGATGGCAGTGGGAGGCATGATGGCAGAAGGAGGCATGATGGTAGTGGGAGGCATGATGGCAGTGGGAGGCATGATGGCAGTGGGAGGCATGATGGCAGTGGGAGGCATGATGGCAGAGGGAGGCATGATGGTAGTGGGAGGCATGATGGCAGTGGGAGGCATGATGGCAGTGGGAGGCATGATGGCAGTGGGAGGCATGATGGCAGAAGGAGGCATGATGGTAGTGGGAGGCATGATGGCAGTGGGAGGCATGATGGCAGAGGGAGGCATGATGGCAGAGGGAGGCATGATGGCAGTGGGAGGCATGATGGCAGAGGGAGGCGTGGGCATGTGAATGAGTCAGGTACTAATGCATGTCAGTACTAATGCATGTAGCGAACGTAGAAATTGGTGGCACTTACCTTCAAATTAGTCGCGTTTGGCATCCCATGCCTCCTGGTGATGGGAGTGCCTTGTACAGCGCTCTCCGCCACAGCGCCTGGCGTTTCTGGCGGCTCAGGTTGTTCACTGGATATCGAGGTAAGCGGCGGGATTTGCGTCCCATTTCCCCCCCGGTCCACCGAAGGTTCACGACCGGCCTTTAGCTCGGCAATCTGCCGATTAGCTTCCTGCAAAGCCTGGAATAGTTGCTGCATGGATTCATTAGGAGAATTGATCGAGGGAAGGATGGGCACTCCGCTAGCGTTGAGCGGGGAATTGCCTCTTGCCGATGCGAAGAGGGGCGGAGTTGCTTGGTCAGAGTGTCCAACTTTCCTGCCATCATTGAACCAATCTCCAACACCACCCGCCTCACCATCTTCCACCCCCAGCCCCCCACCAGGGGCCGGATCGTCACTACCACCGGCTGGACTGTGCGTGTTGTCATGCTGCTGGCCAGCGTTGTCACGCACACTCCGATCTTGAAATCTATATGCTCTCTTCCCCAATCCTGAGGTGGTAGCAAGGGCAGCATACCGATCGTTGGTTGCTGCCCGTTTCATCCGAACGATCTCCCGACGATTCGACGGATCAGCATCATCCGAGTTCACCATGATCCTCATCTCATTGTAGAAGCCAGGGTCCTGTCTCACAACAGGACGCTCCTTACGACGCCGCTGGGTGTAACCCTCATTATCTGCTTGCTTTCCTTGAGCACACTCTCTACGTCTCTGCCGTTTATAGCCACTACCAGCCTTACCACCGGTTGCATGACCACACTTTCCGCTATACTGGTGGTTGCACGCTCCTCGTGCCCTCCCCCCTCTCCTACCGTTCTCATTACTCCCGGACCCAGTTTCAGCGTCATCACTCTCGTCCTCTTCCTCATCATACTTCTCCTCGCTCCCGGATGAACTCCCTGATTCCTCCTCAGAACAATCTTCTCCATCGGAAGATTCGACCTCAGCAACGGCCTTCTTTCCAGCCTTTCTGCACCGTGCCTTCACCCTCCCAGACACCCCCCTCTGATCTTCATGCTCAGCGCCACGGCTCTCCCTCCCACCCTCCTCTTGCCCTCGAACAATGTGTGCATCGGCCGCACGAACACCAGCTGGAGTAGAGGGAAAAGATGCATCATGCTTCATATCACACTCTCCCTCACGCTTCACCCCACGCTCCCCCACACGCTTCACAACACGCTCTCCCTCACGCTTCACATCACGCTTCACATCACGCTCTCCCTCTCGCTCTCCCTCACGCTCTCCCTCACGCTCCCCCTCACGCTCTCCCTCACGCTCTCCTTCATGCTCAGCCTCACACTCTCCCTCCCGCCTGCCCTCACGCCTGCCTTCACGCCTGCCCTCAAGCCCTCCCTCACGCCTGCCCTCACGCTCTCCCTCACGCTCTCCCTCATGCTCAGCCTCACGCTCTCCCTCCCGCCTGCCCTCACGCCTACCTTCACGCCTGCCCTCAAGCCCTCCCGAACGCCTGCCCTCACGCTCTCCATCACGCTCATCCCCACGCTCATGCCCTTTCTCTGGCAGTTGCTCCTTGTCATCTACATCTTCTACAAGTCCTGTTGCACCAGGCGTGTCTTGTCTTTCTCTTTTCTTTTTCTTGGCTCCAGCAAGGGTACCTACAACACGCACGAAGTAAGGATGATACGCTCAGTTAATAAGAGGGCAGCACCTCTCTGGATTGAGCGGAACACATCCAAGTAATTAACGAGCAACTTTAAGACATACAAACTTGAAAAAGCTGGATAGAAGCTCGTTGCGTACCTTTCCTCCCTGTAGCAGGTTTGCACTGGTCCAACGGCTTCAGCTTTCGACCGTTCCTCCGCCTTTGTGAACCGCCGCGTCTAACCTTGCCATCGTAGGCCTCTTCTTCAGATTGCTCACTATCCGATGAAGATGCCCCTTCCGATTCCACCTTGGCATCGTGTGCTGGAAGTGTGTTCTTCCGACGATACCGCACAACTAGCTGGGAGGTATCATGAGGCGTCATCTTGTCGTGCCCCTTCTGTTCCGCGTCGGTTTTCGTGGGACCCATAGGTTGTAAAGCTCCAGCGGCGCTACTGAGGAGCGCACTAGCATTGGCCTGTTCAGAGACGATGATGTCTGCCATCTATCTATCAGTTCCGCTAGACAAGCCAAAAAAATGGTTACAAAAGTGAGCTGTGCATTTCTAAGTATCAAGTATCCCATAAATAGGTGTTGGAGACGCAAGGAACAGCAGCGCGCAATCGCACTACGTGCCCGCGAAACGCGCCAACGAAAGTCGAGCAAGCTAGAACGGCCGCTGGACGCGGCCTACTACGAGAACAGACCGCCGCGCCAATGTGTTACGTGCCTACTACGAAAACTGCACCGCAGCGCCAAAGATGGATGAGCCTATTACGAGAACAGCGACGTGACGGCTATTACGTGCTACCACTGACATCTTCTCACTTTGCATCGAGTGCCAGAGGGAACATCTACATTTACTATCACTGGTAGGAGTAGTACTACTACCGTACTAGTTGCAGGACGTGCCTACCATAGGGGTATCGTGACGAGAACCGAACGGCTACAAGCAAGACGAACTAGGTGCTTCGAACGTGGAGCATATCGTGGTCTCATCTCCCAGCATGGGAATCGGCATGAAGATGCTTGTTCCTGTAACGCATTACCAGGTGGCCGCATGTCGGGTGGTGGGGTTTGGTGCAGCGCAATAGTTTAGCTGCCCTTGAGGTTGCAAGGAAGGCGCTGTCAATGGGCCAAAATTTTCAAATCCTTAATTGCAGCAACCTCCCTGGGCTAGAACGCCCGAGCGTTCACAATGCCTAATCGGCACTATAAATACGAGACTTAGTACTAGTAAGTAATTGCACGCGTGAGTACGGGAACTGAACCAAGCCTTGCCGCACACCAAAAAAAACAAAAATGCAATGTGACAGCAGCAAATTGGCTGCGCGTTGTCGGCGCACAATTGTGCGTATGGAGCCGTGATAGATACAAGACATCGCGGCTCGATAATTCCCCGAGTGGTTGCGCTGAATCTTCGATTTCGTGGCACCGCTCTTTGTACCGAGGATGTGACAGGATTGATGCAATAAGATTGTGAAAAAGTTCAGTAATATTGTAAGGTTCACACAGTCTCCCTTCAATCAAGGTAATCATAGGATAGGGTGAGTAGAAAGAATAATCCTGCACACATAAACTAACAGTCTCATTCCAGTCGTCTCATCGCACACTGGTATACTTCTATGCATTGTCATATTCAAATTTAGGGTGACTACTGGGCGTGACTCACCGTACAATGACTATACCAGTGTTCACACGCCTAGCAACCTTCAATAAACATTCTGCAATTGTTGAGAGCAAGCACAGTTAGGTTCACATCAACAGCTGGTTTGCTGCGTAGATGTTCCAGCCCTGGAGAAGACAGAAACTGCATTGTGTCCACATTATTGCGTTCATGGGCCGATACATAGCAACTTACATAGGGCGCTGCAGTAGGAAGATTCTCATTGAGGTGCATGTGATGTTGTAATACTATCATGGTCGCCTGCCATGCCTCTAGGAGGTAGTTCATGATGCCTGCCCTGCATTCAGCTCATCTGACTACTCATCAAGTTCAGCAAGACCACAACCACTATGTTGTGTTCTGAGTGTATTCACTGACACTATGTAGTGCTCGGCTTAGAGCTTACCATCTGGTGCAAATCAGTTACTCCCCTCTCATGCCAGTTTCCATCAAGCGTCGAGCAGTACGATACAGCAGATCGTCAGGTACTAATGCATGTCAATAACCAACACCAAGCAGGCTTAAGGGCATCAGTCAGCCTGGATCAACCCACATGCATTGTCATAGACACAGGACCACCTAGCCAAATCGTGACGATATTGGCACCTCCACTGTCTTGGCGTCCCGGCCAAGTCACACGCATTCAAACTGTCAAACTTGGTCTCGACAAGCGTATGAATGATACGCATCACATAAACGCCGCAGTCATTCTCGTTGTCCTGCTGACGCACCTGCGGTAGGACAAGTATCAGGTGGTTCTTAAGGCTGAGTCACCATTTGCTTTCAGCCCCACCCCCCCATCCCACCGCCCCCCCCCCCCCCCCCCCTCCTCTCGTACTCATCCGCGCATCCCATGCCTGTCCATGCGCAGCACGCACCTCTCCCTTCCCCTACTCATCATCCCATGCCTGTCCATGCGCAGCACGCACCTCTCCCTTCCCCTACTCATCATCTCATGCCTGTCCATGCGCAGCACGCACCTCTCCCTTCCCCTACTCATCATCCCATGCCTGTCCATGCGCAGCATGCACCTCCCTCTTCCCCTACTCATCATCCCATGCCTGTCGATGCGCAGCACGCAACTCCCCCTTCCCCTATTCATCATCCCATGCCTGTCCATGCGCAGCACGCAACTCCCCCTTCCCCTATTCATCATCCCATGCCTGTCCATGCGCAGAATGCAACTCCCCCTTGCCCTACTCATCATCCCATGCCTGTCCATGCGCAGCACGCACCTCCCTCTTCCCCTACTCATCATCCCATGCCTGTCCATGCGCAGCATGCAACTCCCCCTTCCCCTACTCATCATCCCATGCCTGTCCATGCGCAGCATGCAACTCCCCCTTGCGCTACTCATCATCCCATGCCTGTCCATGCGCAGCACGCACCTCCCTCTTCCCCTATTCATCATCCCATGCCTGTCCATGCGCAGCACGCACCTCTCCCTTCCCCTACTCATCATCCCATGCCTGTCCATGCGCAGCACGCAACCCCCCCTTCCCCTACTCATCATCCCATGCCTGTCCATGCGCAGCACGCAACCCCCCCTTCCCCTACTCATCATCCCATGCCTGTCCATGCACCGCACGCAACTCCCCCTTCCCCTACTCATCATTCCATGCCTGTCCATGCGCAGCACGCAACTCCCCCTTCCCCTACTCATCATCCCATGCCTGTCCATGCGCAGCATGCACCTCCCTCTTCCCCTACTCATCATCCCATGCCTGTCGATGCGCAGCACGCAACTCCCCCTTCCCCTATTCATCATCCCATGCCTGTCCATGCGCAGCACGCACCTCCCCCTTCCCCTACTCATCATCCCATGCCTGTCCATGCGCAGCATGCACCTCTCCCTTCCCCTACTCATCGTCTCATGCCTGTCCATGCGCCGCACGCAACTCCCCCTTCCCCTACTCATCATCCCATGCCTGTCCATGCGCAGCACGCACCTCCCCCTTCCCCTACTCATCATCCCATGCCTGTCCATGCGCAGCATGCAACTCCCCCTTCCCCTACTCATCATCCCATGCCTGTCCATGCGCAGCATGCAACTCCCCCTTGCGCTACTCATCATCCCATGCCTGTCCATGCGCAGCACGCACCTCCCTCTTCCCCTATTCATCATCCCATGCCTGTCCATGCGCAGCACGCACCTCTCCCTTCCCCTACTCATCATCCCATGCCTGTCCATGCGCAGCACGCAACCCCCCCTTCCCCTACTCATCATCCCATGCCTGTCCATGCGCAGCACGCAACCCCCCCTTCCCCTACTTATCATCCCATGCCTGTCCATGCACCGCACGCAACCCCCCCTTCCCCTACTCATCATCCGATGCCTGCCCATGCGCAGCACGGACCTCCCCCTTCCCCTACTCATCCGCGCATCCCATGCCTGTCCATGAGCGGCCTGTCCCACACCAATCCTCCTTTTTGCACGGGCTGTGAATTCACATACCACAATGGTGTTTAACTGAATCGCTGCTGCCCACGCTTTTGCTTCTGTCTCCGTGACCCATGCGTAGCGCTGCATGGCTTGATTCATCAAACACCTGCGCATTAAGACGTACGGCTTGTTAACATTGGTCCAGAACAACTGTGTTTCATACGTAGCACATCACATATCTCACTGTCTCAATGGTCCATCAATGTCGACGTGAATTGCAAGTGAGTCCGCATGCCACAGGACACACTTGATCGGGATAATGGATCCCGGAGCGTGGGTAATTTCGATAACAACAAGGCTCCAGTGCGCACTGCCACGTAAAGGAGACATCCAAAATCGTTAGTTTGCAGCACATGTTTACGTTCAACACATGAATAAAAAGACCCGAGGACTTACTCCTTGTTAATCGGAACAAGAACGTGCTTAAATGACAAGATGTCTAGTCCATAGGCCTGCCTTGTGATCCTCTTCGACCCTGGGCGTGCTACGAGTGTCCAGAAATAAGGCGATGTGCAAAGCCACGACGCATTGTCATATCCGTACTCGTAGTGTAACATACTGCAGGATCGACATGAAAATATACAACGTCGGTGGAGCTCGTGAGAAACTAAAAACAAGGGTCAACAAATCAGTTCGCTATGTGTTCAACACAGAGCCACTCACGATGAGAGCCACTCGATAACAGTGCCACTGACCCACTGCTCGTTTTTCAGCGTGCGGTAATCTGAGGGCTTGATTTCAAGGGATCCCCCGAACGGGGATGGCATGCGCATGTGCCGGAAACTACATCGCGCTAACTTGGGTATGCCCTTCTCTTCCATATCTTGAGATAGCAAACTCAGCTTGAGCAGGATCGTGCCTTAGGTGATGGTCGAAATTCCGTGGCCCAGCCAACGGAAAGTCTAAGGAAATACTGTAGTTCTTGAAGAAGGACCCACACGCCCTTGCCCTCTGTTGGTCAACTTTGTGATTCTCTTACTCCCAGGCGTCGTCAACGAATAGCCTGTTCATACTTGGTGAACAGTGTTGGGTGGTCTGACAGAATTCCCTGCTGCAATGACATTGTTCGGCTTGTTTTTTTCTGACACACAATTGGCGTGTACGCGAATATGATGTCAGGTCCATGTTGCAAGCGGAAATGACCCTCGCCAACTTGTTTGCAGTTGGGTACAAAACCTCGTCAAGGTGCAGCGACGAGTAAGCAGTTTTTGTGCGCGAAAACAGTTACACCAAGAGATGTTGAGTATGGGAGTCGCATGGCGCTCTCGCCAATCTGCGCGGTTGTCGCGCACCAATAAACAGGAGGACCGAACACTTCGAGCCGCACATCACAAACCCTAACCAACTGCAAAACCCACTACTGACACTCGATGACCAATAATGGCCAATCATGATCACCTGAAACATATGTTCAGACTCAGATTGCCACTTCGTGTTCGCGCCAAATCCTTCCATCGCCTTTCGGTAAACTATCGTCCATACGATGGGCGCTATCTCACCACAGTGCAGTGTTACCATTCACATCTCAAGCTGGTGTGCCAAACACCCACACCCTTTCAGTCTTACTGACAGATCTGCTCGATGGAGGCTCAGGCTTGTGAGTTCTGCAATAAACGCGTGTACTGCTATCAATACGTAAGTAGCCATCAAGCTAACCATGACGGCTGTAAGCGGGCCCAAAAACGCAAGGCTGAAGAGGATGCTAAACGTAAGAAACTAGACCGTGGCTTTGAGAAGCAGTATACCTTGGTTCCGTTAGCAACAGCCACCCTTCCCGCGCCAGCGCATTCAATTCCCTTAGCGGCACTTCCGAACGCAGTAGAGCAGCACCCGCAGCCAGCAGAGCGAGTTCCTGATGCGGTTCGTACGTGCAGCACCACACTCATGGTGGAAGAAGCTCCTACAGAGGAAATTCTTGATGTTAAGGCGGAAATATGCATTTTGGCACGATCTCACGGCCTTACCAACGGGGCGATAAACGACACAATACAGTTAGTTAGACATCCGAAATTAGATCCAAAGCAGCTGGACGATTGGAACAGCTACAGGGACCTGGAGAAGTACGAGAACAGCTTTGACCTTGGAGCGGAGAATGAATGGATCGTCGAGGAGATCGAGGTGGATCACGAGGTTGGGTTTCTCACCTTCAAGCGCCGAAACGCGATAACTGTGAGTGTATCCATGCGTGCTGGGTCACGTTTGTCACCTTGGAATGTGTTTGTTGAGACCGACTAAACCATCAGTCCAAATGGAACCATCAGACGACCAACGCTTCTGTTTTCCGTTATTGTTTCCATGATTATCACCATCAGCTCCTTCAGTCCATGTTCAAGAAGATGTCGGCTGTCAAGGGATTCAGCATCATGCCTCAAGAGTGGAAGGTGGATGGGGTTCGCCGCTACAGTACCCCTGCAAACACGGATTGGATGCTCGAGGCTTGGGTAAGTACCACGCCATCTCATGTCGCGTTGGACACAAGCATTGAAACCTAGGATCCAATACGTCTTTCCTTCTCTTTATCATCACTGTGGCAGGAAAGGGTGCGGAAGTTTGGCATAGTTATAGCTCTCATTTTGTTTTCGGACCAGACCAATCTATCGTACAACGGGCGCCAATCTGCCCACCCATTTCTGTTGTCCTTTGGGAACATTCCTGAATGGGCTAGGTGGCTTGAAGGAGGCACTGAGCTTCTCGGGCTCCTGCCTAACATCCCACCTGACCTCTCGCCAGAAGAGAAGGTTCGAGTGTTCCAGGACGCTGCAGAGATCATGATTCGAGATTTAAAGGCGGCTTCACATCTTTCAGGGTGAGACACTGCTACTCTCGCCCAAAGGCGCGCATCCCTTGTACTCTCCAGAATCCACCACACTACCCTACTTATTTTCATTGCCTATCTAATACACACTTCCCTCCCTTTTTTACCCCCATTCTCCTCTGTTCTTCTTTCGCATGCGTGCCACGACGCCGGATTCAGTCGAAAGTACTCTGCTCCCAGCCACCATGCTTCACCTAATACCATTCGGTTCCTTTCGTACCACCGTCTCCTGCCGTTGAAACCATCCCTGCTTGCTGTCCCCCTCCTCCTAACCGTCCTTCATCTGCTTGCTTACAACAACCCATGCTCACACTATCACTGACATATCTAACATGGTCTCCCATCCTCGCCATACCCCCCCCCCCCTGCTTTACCCCTCATCCTGGCGGCTGTGCAGGGGCGGTGTGATGGTGGAAGACAGTGCCGGCGTGCAGTATAGAGCATTCACGCTCCTTTATTCATGGGTGGCCGATCACCCGGAGTCTTCTAAGATCACCTGTACGATGGCATGCAACTCACACCATCCGTGCTCGTTGTGCTTGGCTGAAAAGGAGCGCCTGGATGAAATGAACTTTGAGTTGACTCAACAGCCAACTGACAAGAAGCGCCTGGATGAGCAGGACGAGTCCATTGTCCCCAGAAATGTCGAGGGTCGGAAGGAATCTGCGGAAACCAAAAAGAAGCAGGAAGACACCATTGTCCTTAGAACTGTCAAGGGTCAGAAGGATTTTCACAAGGAGATGAAAGCCGCGAAGACCAAAAAGGAGCTGAAGGCGGTGAAGAAGAAGTCCTCTACACACTTTGTGAAGGTGCGCCTTGCCCAGCTTGTTCCGCGTGCATCCTTGTGGTTCTCATATGGTTTTCCTCCGTATCCACCATATACTGCTGTGGCTAGTGTGCCCGGAAACCTACTCCGTTCTGCCTCCTGCTGTTCGTATTTATTATCCTGACCCGCCATAGTGGGTTTGCGTCCTTGACCCCCGACACAGAGCCTTTTGTGGGACTGGGAATTCGCAAAAACTCTCTGGGGCAACACGTACCTTGCTGTGCCCCCGGACATCATGCACATCTGGGAGCAGGGCATATGGCTGCATGCCATGAAGTGCCTGGTGAAGAAGCTGACCCCGAAGGAACGGAAGATTCTTCTAGAGTGAGTTGTTCCGCGCCCTGCTTCATGCTACTCCCCTCCGTGCTTGCTTTCCGCGCCATGCTTCATGCTACTCCCCTCCGAGCTTGCTTTCCGCACCCTGCTTCATGCTACTCCCCTCCGTGCTTGCTTTCTGCGCCATGCTTCATGCTACTCCCCTCCGTGCTTGCTTTCCGCGCCCTGCTTCATGCTACTCCCCTCCGTACTTGCTTTCCGCGCCGTGATTCATGCTACTCCCCTCCGTGCTTGCTTTCCGCGCCCTGCTTCATGCTACTCCCCTCCGTGCTTGCTTTCCGCGCCCTGCTTCATGCTACTCCCCTCCGCGCGCCCTGCTTCATGCTACTCCCCTCCGTGCTTGCTTTCCGCGCCCTGCTTCATGCTACTCCCCTCCGTACTTGCTTTCCGCGCCGTGATTCATGCTACTCCCCTCCGTGCTTGCTTTCCGCGCCCTGCTTCATGCTACTCCCCTCCGTGCTTGCTTTCCGCGCCCTGCTTCATGCTACTCCCCTCCGCGCGCCCTGCTTCATGCTACTCCCCTCCGTGCTTGCTTTCCGCGCCCTGCTTCATGCTACTCCCCTCCGTACTTGCTTTCCGCGCCGTGATTCATGCTACTCCCCTCCGTGCTTGCTTTCCGCGCTCTGACGAACTGTTACACACACCTAGGCGATACAAGATTTTGAAGGAGGCCACACCAGCTTCCGTGCTCCGTCTTCCTTCGGCGTGGGCCTACTTCACATCCACTGCCTGCTTTTCAGCTGCAGAGCATCGGGCAATGATGCAGGTCCTGCCCCTCATCATCAACCTCCCAGGACGAGAAGATATCCGCACGGCCATTGTCAAGATGGTCGAGTGGTACAAGGCGTTCATCCGCGCTGAGTACCACACCGACAACTCTCTGGAACAGATGAAAGACGCCACCATCAAGTAATTACTCCGTCTGTTATGTGGTTTCCCAGGCCCTTCATTGCCACGTACGCACATTTTCATTGTCGCGCCTGTACCCTAAATGCTCCTCCCACCCTCTTTCATAGGCTTGACTTCATAGGCTTCTGTGTTTCCCGTTTGTACAATACCAAGCTTGTTGCTCAGTTCCCTACCAGCTTCACCTTCGTACTCGCCTGTTTCTCCCTTTCGTGCGATGATTTCCCTACCCAGGCTCCATCGTACTCCGTGACCTTTGGATGCCCTCCTTCCATCGTCGTTTTGCCTGACCCATCTTCTCCCTCTGCACTGCATCGCTTTTCCTCCATAACCCACCTCCCTGCTCCCTCCTTCCGTGTTTCTGTTTTCGCTGTCTGCTTCCTCACTCCCCCTCCCGCATCCCGTTTCTCCCTTCACGGCCTGCATTCCCCCTCTTAACTGCATGCGTTGTATCTAAATTTTCTCCAGGATGGTGAAGGCTCTTCGTGTCGCTTTCCCTAAGCAGAAGTCAAAGTGGAAAATTGTTAAGATTCATCTTCTCGTTCACCTCCCATCAACCATCCGTATGAGGGGGATCCCTGCCGAGTACTCGTCGAACTGCTACGAGCACTCCCACAAGACCACTGTGAAGCGTCCTTCACGTGGCACGAACTGGAAGAATGTTGAAGATCGAATCGTCCGGAAACACCTGGAGCATGCGGTAGTTAGGCAACTCGCGCGGGAGGCCGGAGGGGACAGCACGTACGAGACCTCGATGAAAGAGGTGACTTTTACGAACCTGCTCTGTTCCCCTGCACCCCGTCGTCAACTAAGTTTCCCTATTTTAATCCCATGCTGTGATCTCCTAAAGTGATGCCATGCTCTGTTCTCTTGCTCGGTTCCCCTCCTCTGTTTCCCTGCTCGGTTCTCTTGCTCTCTCCCCCTGCTCTGTTTCCCGGCTCGGTACTCTTGTTCTCTCCCCCTGCTCTGTTTCCCTGCTCGGTTCTCCTTCTCTCTCCCCCTGCTCTGTTCCTCTTGTTATTTTCCCTTCTTTGTTATATGCTCTGTTTCCCAGCTGTGTTCCCTACTGTGTCTTCCCCGCTCTGTTCCTTGCACTGTTCTCCTCTGCCATGTTCCGTTCTGTGTCTGCCCTGCTTTGTGCCCTGCTGTATTCCCTTCAGTTTCCCTGCTATGCTCCCTTCTGTGTCTGCCCTGCTCTGTGCCATGTTCAGTTTGCCCGAGCTCGGTTCTCATGCCCTCTCCCCTGCCCTGTTTCCCTGCTCGGTTCTCATGCTCTCTCCCCTGCCCTGTTTCCCTGCTCGGTTCTCATGCTCTTTCCTGCTCTGTTTCGCTGCTCGGGTCTCATGCTCTCCCCCCCTGCTCTTTTTCCCTGCTCGGCTCTCTTGCTCTCTCACACTGCTCTGTTCCCCTCGTCATTTCCCCCTCTTTGTTATCCGCTCTGTTACCCTGCTATGTTCCATGCTGTGTCTCCCCTACTCGGTGCCCTGTTCTGTTTCCCTGCTCTGTTCCCTGCACTGTTACCCTGCCATGTTCCGTTCTGTGTCTGCCCTGCTCTGTGCCTTGCTCTGTTCCCTTCACCGATTCCCTGATTTGTTCACTTCTGTGTCTGCCCTGCTCTGTGCCCCACTCTGTTCCCTTCACTGTTTCCCTGATTTGTTCACTTCTGTGTCTGCCATGCTATGTGCCACGCTCTGTTCCCTTCACTGTTTCCCTGATTTGTTCACTTCTGTGTCTGCCCTGCTATGTGCCTCACTCTGTTCCCTTCACTGTTTCCCACATTTGTCACTTCTGTGTCTGCCCTGCTCTGTGCCCCGCTCTGTTCCCTTCACTGTTTACTTGATTTGTTCACTTCTGTGTCTGCCCTGCTCTGTGCCCCGCTCTGTTCCCTTCACCGTTTCCCTGATTTGTTCACTTCTGTGTCTGTCCTGCTCTGTGCCACGTTCTGTTCGCTCGTCTCTTTGCCCGCATTTCTGTTTCCATGCTCTCTGCATGTGTTGGCAATCACATTTAGGACCAACATAACCAAAGTAATCGATTCCTACCCCCCCATCCCCTTCTTCGTCCCCACAACCTCTCCCCCTTTCCCCCACACCCATTCCCACTTCGTGGCCTTTCCCTTCTTCGCCTACACCTCGCATCCATCCCCTATCCCCCCCCCCTCTTCCTCCCTCCAAAAGGACTCACCATACAACCCTCCCCCTCCCTATACCAACCCTCTCCTCTCCACGGTGACAGGCATGCCTGGCTGGCCAGAGGGTGCTTACTAAGACCCACAAGAAGATGGTCCTGGGGGACATCACCGACTCAGTGTTTCGGAGCTACGTCTTGACTGTTGGTGAACCTGCCATGAGTGCGATGGTTCTGCGACTCAGACGGGCAGGCATCAACACGCAAGTTTTGCAGGTGCATTCCCGGTCGTATGGATATGCCATTTTTTCTCACTGCCCCCACTTCCCCCTCTCCTGCATGCTTTCCACCCACTCCAGCCCCCCTTCCCCCTCTCCTGCATGCTTTCCACCCACCTTAGCCCTCATTCCCCCTCTCCTGCATGCTTTCCACCCACTCCAGCCCCCATTCCCCCTCTCCTGCATGCTTTCCACCCACTCCAGCCCCACTTCCCCCTCTCCTGCATGCTTTCCACCATCTCCAGCCCCCCTTCCCCCTCTCCTGCATGCTTTCCACCCACTCCAGCCCCCCTTCCCCCTCTCCTGCATGCTTTCCACTCACTCCAGCCCCCCTTCCCCCTCTCCTGCATGCTTTCCACCCACTCCAGCCCCCCTTCCCCCTCTCCTGCATGCTTTCCACTCACTCCAGCCCCCCTTCCCCCTCTCCTGCATGCTTTCCAACCACTCCAGCCCCCCTTCCCCCTCTCCTGCATGCTTTCCACTCACTCCAGCCGCACTTCCCCCTCTCCTGCATGCTTTCCACCCACTCCAGCCCCCCTTCCCCCTCTCCTGCATGCTATCCACCCACTCCAGCCCCCCTTCCCCCTCTCCTGCATGCTTTTCCACCCACTCCAGCCCCCCTTCCCCCTCTCCTGCATGCTTTCCACCCACTCCAGCCCCCCTTCCCCCTCTCCAAAATGCTTTCCACCCACTCCAGCCCCCCTTCCCCCTCTCCAAAATGCTTTCCACCCACTCCAGCCCCCTTTCCCCCTCTCCTGCATGCTTTCCACCCACTCCAGCCCCCCTTCCCCCTCTTCAAAATGCTTTCCACCCACTCCAGCCCCCCTTCCCCCTCTCCTGCATGCTTTCCACCCACTCCAGCCCCACTTCCCCCTCTCCTGCATGCTTTCCACCCACTCCAGCCCCCCTTCCCCCTCTCCTGCATGCTTTCCACCCACTCCAGCCCCCCTTCCCCCTCTCCTGCATGCTTTCCACCCACTCCAGCCCCCCTTCCCCCTCTCCTGCATGCTCTCCACCCACTCCAGCCCCACTTCCCCCTCTCCTGCATGCTTTCCACCCACTCCAGCCCCCCTTCCCCCTCTCCTGCATGCTTTCCACTCACTCCAGCCGCACTTCCCCCTCTCCTGCATGCTTTCCACCCACTCCAGCCCCCCTTCCCCCTCTCCTGCATGCTTTCCACCCACTTTAGCCCCCCTTCCCCCTCTCCTGCATGCTTTCCACCCACTCCAGCCCCCATTCCCCCTCTCCTGCATGCTTTCCACTCACTCCAGCCGCACTTCCCCCTCTCCTGCATGCTTTCCACCCACTCCAGCCCCCCTTCCCCCTCTCCTGCATGTTTTCCACCCACTTTAGCCCCCCTTCCCCCTCTCCTGCATGCTTTCCACCCACTCCAGCCCCCATTCCCCCTCTCCTGCATGCTTTCCAACCACTCCAGCCCCACTTCCCCCTCTCCTGCATGCTTTCCACCCACTCCAGCCCCCCCTCCCCCTCTCCTGCATGCTTTCCACCCACTCCAGCCCCACTTCCCCCTCTCCTGCATGCTTTCCACCCACTCCAGCCCCCCTTCCCCCTCTCCTGCATGCTTTCCACCCACCTTAGCCCCCATTCCCCCTCTCTTGCATGCTTTCCACCCACTCCAGCCCCCGTTCCCCCTCTCCTGCATGCTCTCCACCCACTCCAGCCCCACTTCCCCCTCTCCTGCATGGCTTTCCACCCACTCCAGCCCCCCCTCCCCCTCTCCTGCATGCTTTCCACCCACTCCAGCCCCACTTCCCCCTCTCCTGCATGCTTTCCACCCACTCCAGCCCCCCTTCCCCCTCTCCTGCATGCTTTCCACCCACCTTAGCCCCCATTCCCCCTCTCTTGCATGCTTTCCACCCACTCCAGGCCCCATTCCCCCTCTCCTGCATGCTCTCCACCCACTCCAGCCCCACTTCCCCCTCTCCTGCATGCTTTCCACCCACTCCAGCCCCCCTTCCCCCTCTCCTGCATGCTTTCCACCCACTCCAGCCCCCCTTCCCCCTCTCCTGCATGCTTTCCACCCACTCCAGCCCCCCTTCCCCCTCTCCTGCATGCTTTTCCACCCACTCCAGCCCCCCTTCCCCCTCTCCTGCATGCTTTCCACCCACTCCAGCCCCCCTTCCCCCTCTCCAAAATGCTTTCCACCCACTCCAGCCCCCCTTCCCCCTCTCCAAAATGCTTTCCACCCACTCCAGCCCCCTTTCCCCCTCTCCTGCATGCTTTCCACCCACTCCAGCCCCCCTTCCCCCTCTCCAAAATGCTTTCCACCCACTCCAGCCCCCCTTCCTCCTCTCCAACCTGCTTTTCCACCCACTCCAGCCCTTTGCCAATTTCCCCCTTTCGCTATGCTCTCCACCGCCTCTTTCGCTGCTTTCACATTGTCTTGGTTCATGCTCGTGGTTTCAGGTGCACACGGCACTTGCGATTCCGCCTCACGACAAGATGGAATGGACGTCAAGGGGGCAGTTTGTCAAGGCTAGCCCGGGCGAGAAGAACTTCTCATCTGTTGCAATCAACCCTGCAGGGAAGGGGTCCCCCTGGTACGGCCGTTGTCTTGTCCTGTTTCACTACAACAAAGATGGGGAGCTGAGGCGCGGAGCATACGTGGAGTATTACACCGAGGACAAGCGACTATGCCCGTCAACGGGATGCAAGCGCCTTCTACCCACAGAGGGCGAGGATGATTTTGCAGTGATTGATGTCGACTGCATTCTCAGTCTCGTACACATTGTTCCCTCATGTGAGGACGATGAAGTGAGCCTTCTTAATAGATTCGTTTGGTGAGGTCTAGCACACGTAGAGAACTTTGACGCATTGTGACTTTTGTAAACATGAAATTGTTCCCTGACTATGTTCTTTTTAGGCCTTGTAAGAATAAAATAGGTGTAAAATTTCCTTCAAATAGTTAAACATGACTCTTGGAAGCACTATTTACATAGAGAAAATTACATCATCATATTCAAAGAAACATAAGTGCAAATGTCATTAATGTAACAAATGGTACACAAAAGACTAAACGAGGAATTCTTGGAGAGAATCAAATTTCTCGCTATCTGCTCCCTCGCGAAGAGACATGCTCGACTATCTGTTAGGCCCGGAACCCTAATCCTGCGCACAAGCAAGAAATAGTTAGGAGCAAACATTCAGAATGTGACTGGAAAACATTCCGCCGAAGGCAAACGTTTTTTAGAGTTTCCCTGTACGTTTTTCAAACGATTGTCAAACGTACGATAGGCTGCCGCGAATGTCAGATGATTTTCAGACACACGCATTTTTGTCAGATGCACCTTCCCCAGTCCGTGCCTCCCCCTCCCCCTCCCCCTGCGCCTTGCCAGCCTCCAGCTTGTCACACCACTGTGTGTGGGGCAAACAGGGATAAAGCAACATCATCTCAGTCAGATAAGCCCTCCCCAGCCACCTTCCCCAGTGCTTGCCTCCCCCTCAGCCCGCACCTTCATGGGCACCAGATTGTCGCTCAACGGTGTGTGGGGCAAGCAGTGGAGATGGAAGGAGTAGGAACAACATCAGCTCAGTTAGAAAAGCCCTCCCCAGCCACCTTCCCCAGTGCTTGCCTCACCCTACCCGTTCCTCTGCGCCTTGCTGCCTCCAGCTTGTCACACCACTGTGTGTGGGGCGAACAGAGGAGAAAGCAACATCAGCTCAGTCAGATAAGCCCTCCCCAGCCACCTTCCCCAGTGCTTGCCTCCCCCTCAGCCCGGGCCTTCACGGGCACCAGCTTGCCGCCGCACAACGGCGTGTGGGGCAAGCAGGGGAGATGGAAGGAAGAAAAGCAAAAACAGCTCAGTCAGATAGGCCCTCCACAACCACTTTCCCCAGTGCTTGCCCAGTCATCTATCTACCTACCCTCCAGGTTCTATCGTTTGCCTGTGCGCTCCACTCACCTCCTTGCCACCTCACCTCATCAAGCTGATCCCCTGTGCATGTCACCTCACAAGCTGATCTCCTGATCACCTCTTACCACCCCCCCCACCCCTCCTCTCCCTCACTGTGTGCTCGTGCCTCACCTCATCGAGCACGTTCACAATCTCCCGCCCGCACTCTCTCTCCCTGCCGGTCACACTCGACACCAGCCACCCCCTGCTGCCATTCGCGATAGGGCCCGCTCCCCCTCCACTCTGAGGCGCACGAGAGGGAGGCGCCGAAGAGGGAAGGAGGAGGATCAAAGGAACAATTTACTTTGTTTCGACTCCAACAACAACAAGCCCGCACTCTCTCTCCCTGCTGGTCACACTCCACACCAGCCACCCCCTGTTGCCATTCGCGATGGGGCCCGCTCCCCCTCCACTCTGAGGCGCACGAGAGGGAGGAGCAGAAGGGGGAGGGGCACGAGGGGGAGGGGCGGAGCAGAAGGAGCAGAGGGGGGAGGAGCAGAAGACGGAGGAGCAGAGGGGGGAGGAGAAGAATGGGGAGGAGGAGAAGGGGGAGGAGGAGAAATGAGGGAGGGGAGAAGGGTGAGGAGGAACAGCAGGTGGGGGCACAGAAGGGAGAGGAGGAGAGGAGCAGAAGGGGGGGGAGCAAAAGTAAGAAACGGTTGCAAACCACCTCCAATCCCTCCCCCTGCCAGCCCCCTTGCTGCCATACATTCTGGGCGCCGCCTTCTCCCCATTCTGGATCATAGGGTTTAGGGTGAAGGAGCAAAGGAAGAAACAATCGATCCTTCACCTGCACTCTCGCTCCCTGCCTGCTGCTGCCCGCCGCCACTTCGAAAGAGGAGATCGAGGTTGGGGTTTTGGGTGCATGGGAGAGAGCGAGCAACAACAAAGGGTTTCGGGTTTTGGGTGCATGGGAGAGAGCGAGCAACAACCAAGAGTTTCGGGTTTTGGTTGCATGGCAACGGAGATTCGTGGGCCGGGATGTGGGAGGGAAGAGAGACGGCGGGGGTGGGGGGAGGGGAAGGGGGACAGCAGGGGTGGGGGGAGGGGAAGGGGGACAGCGGGCGACACGGGCCGGACGGGTGAGGACCAGAGGAGAGAGGCGACGGCGGGAAAATCCGCTCTGTGTAAGACCAAGTGCTCAAAGCGATATCAGGACCAGAGGGGAGAGGCGACAGCGGAAAAATCTGCTCTGTGTAAACCTAAGTGATCAAGGCGATCTGAGGACCAGAGGGGAGAGGCGGCGCCGTGGGAGCACACGATGGGAGGAGGAGAAGAGAAGGGGGGAGGGAAGACGGAGGTGTGTGCGCGAGCGGGAGGAGAGGGCACGAAAGGAAAGGGGGGGAAGGGGTTGAAGAGGAAGGGCGGGAAGTGGGGCGGATCGGGCTGGTGAGCGCACGCCGCCGCGGAGATCACAGCGGCGACGCCGCCAAGATCATAGCAGCGGCGACGCGCAACGGATGCTGCCGCGACTCGCGACCGAAACGCGACTGAACGCGCCTGCAGAATTGTCGCTGATTATCGTCGTTATTCGTCTGTCAGCCAAGAAAAACATTGGTACACGCCTGCCGGCGGTTTATGTTGACTAATGCGTCGCGACATAAGTTTAAAGGCTCACAGCGTTCAGGTATCGCGACTTGTGCCGCTTCGATTTCCCCCGACCTCCATTACCGCTCCGATTGCCCTCCGCCTCGCGCTTTCCGCGACCCATGTGCGATTGTATGGCCGTGGCTACTGATCAAACGAGAAAAACGCTCAATGACTGATTTGCACATTAACATATAGTATACAACTAAACACCATCGCTGTCAGGACCAGTAGCACAAACCTTCCAATCAATGTTTGATCAGCGGGTTCAATACCCCCCTTGGTCTTTTGTTTTATCCACCTCTCGAGGCTCCGTTTCCATTCAAATCTTATCTAAAGGTGTTTTCTTACTGCTCTGGGGCATTCTTCTTTCATATCATACTCGTCGTCGCATCCCTTCTTGTTGTAAGCCTCAGCCATCTTGACTGGTTTTTTCCGGACGTGCTTGTCGTCTACACCTTCGTTGTGTTGCTTCGTTGGTGTAGAAGATTTTTCTTTACTGGCACACCTCGACCACCACACTGGCACGCCCCATGCCCTGTCACCTCACCCATGTGCTCTACAGTAGGGCTACTGGCGTCACGCCCCACCACCAGCACCAGGCTATCAGCAGCGAGTCCAGCACCCACACACCCCGTGCCCTGCTCTGCTGCACCACTCACCTGCTCTGCCGCACCACTCACCTGCTCTGCTGCACCACTCACCTGCTCTGCTGCACCACTCACCTGCTCTGCTGCACCACTCACCTGCTCTGCCGCACCACTCACCTGCTCTGCTGCACCACTCACCTGCTCTGCTGCACCACTCACCTGCTCTGCTGCACCACTCACCTGCTCTGCTGCACCACTCACCTGCTCTGCCGCACCACTCACCTGCTCTGCCGCACCACCCACCTGCTCTGCCGCACCACTCAGCTGCTCTGCTGCACCACTCACCTGCTCTGCCGCACCACTCACCTGCTCTGCCGCACCACTCACCTGCTCTGCCGCACCACTCACCTGCTCTGCTGCACCACTCACCTGCTCTGCTGCACCACTCACCTGCTCTGCTGCACCACTGACCTGCTCTGCTGCACCACTCACCTGCTCTGCCGCACCACTCACCTGCTCTGCCGCACCACTCACCTGCTCTGCTGCACCACTCACCTGCTCTGCTGCACCACTCACCTGCTCTGCTGCACCACTCACCTGCTCTGCTGCACCACTCACCTGCTCTGCCGCACCACTCACCTGCTCTGCCGCACCACTCACCTGCTCTGCCGCACCACTCAGCTGCTCTGCTGCACCACTCACCTGCTCTGCCGCACCACTCACCTGCTCTGCCGCACCACTCACCTGCTCTGCCGCACCACTCACCTGCTCTGCTGCACCACTCACCTGCTCTGCTGCACCACTCACCTGCTCTGCCGCACCACTCACCTGCTCTGCCGCACCACTCACCTGCTCTGCCGCACCACTCACCTGCTCTGCCGCACCACTCACCTGCTCTGCCGCACCACTCACCTGCTCTGCCGCACCACTCACCTGCTCTGCCGCACCACTCACCTGCTCTGCCGCACCACTCACCTGCTCTGCCGCACCACTCACCTGCTCTGCTGCACCACTCACCTGCTCTGCCGCACCACTCACCTGCTCTGCTGCACCACTCACCTGCTCTGCCGCACCACTCACCTGCTCTGCCGCACCACTCACCTGCTCTGCCGCACCACTCACCTGCTCTGCTGCACCACTCACCTGCTCTGCCGCACCACCCACCTGCTCTGCCGCACCACTCACCTGCTCTGCTGCACCACTCACCTGCTCTGCCGCACCACTCACCTGCTCTGCCGCACCACTCACCTGCTCTGCTGCACCACTCACCTGCTCTGCCGCACCACTCACCTGCTCTGCCGCACCACTCACCTGCTCTGCTGCACCACTCACCTGCTCTGCCGTACCACTCACCTGCTCTGCCGCACCACTCACCTGCTCTGCTGCACCACTCACCTGCTCTGCGGCACCACTCACCTGCTCTGCTGCACCACTCACCTGCTCTGCCGCACCACTCACCTGCTCTGCCGCACCACTCACCTGCTCTGCCGCACCACTCACCTGCTCTGCCGCACCACTCAGCTGCTCTGCTGCACCACTCACCTGCTCTGCCGCACCACTCACCTGCTCTGCCGCACCACTCACCTGCTCTGCCGCACCACTCACCTGCTCTGCTGCACCACTCACCTGCTCTGCCGCACCACTCACCTGCTCTGCTGCACCACTGACCTGCTCTGCTGCACCACTCACCTGCTCTGCCGCACCACTCACCTGCTCTGCCGCACCACTCACCTGCTCTGCTGCACCACTCACCTGCTCTGCCGCACCACTCACCTGCTCGGCTGCACCACTCACCTGCTCTGCTGCACCACTCACCTGCTCTGCTGCACCACTCACCTGCTCTGCCGCACCACTCACCTGCTCTGCCGCACCACTCACCTGCTCTGCCGCACCACTCACCTGCTCTGCCGCACCACTCACCTGCTCTGCCGCACCACTCACCTGCTCTGCCGCACCACTCACCTGCTCTGCCGCACCACTCACCTGCTCTGCCGCACCACTCACCTGCTCTGCCGCACCACTCACCTGCTCTGCCGCACCACTCACCTGCTCTGCCGCACCACTCACCTGCTCTGCCGCACCACTCACCTGCTCTGCCGCACCACTCACCTGCTCTGCCGCACCACCCACCTGCTCTGCCGCACCACTCACCTGCTCTGCCGCACCACTCACCTGCTCTGCTGCACCACTCACCTGCTCTGCTGCACCACTCACCTGCTCTGCCGCACCACTCACCTGCTCTGCTGCACCACTCACCTGCTCTGCCGCACCACTCACCTGCTCTGCCGCACCACTCACCTGCTCTGCCGCACCACTCACCTGCTCTGCCGCACCACTCACCTGCTCTGCTGCACCACTCACCTGCTCTGCTGCACCACTCACCTGCTCTGCCGCACCACTCACCTGCTCTGCTGCACCACTCACCTGCTCTGCGGTGCAATCGGCCCGTGAGCGACTCATAGCAGGCTGTTGCTATTGCATTGCGCCATGGCGTTGATGCGGCTGCCGCACACACGCCCCATTGCACGATCACGTCACGCCTAGGGTTACACGGGCCCGATTGCACCGCGCTAAGGTGATAAGAGCGACTCGTGACAGCTGGAACGATGTGCGAGATACCTATCCGACGCTGCACTGATAGGCTAGTCAGGTCAGGGTGTGCGGGGATGGCGAGGAGGAGCCTTATCTCTGCCCACGCATTCTAACTAGAAGCGTCACCGTCTGAATCTAAACGAACAGCTAATTACGACCAACAGCTAAATACAATCCGAACGAACAGCTAATTAGAGTCCCACTCCCTTGGGGGAGTGTTCGATTTCTTCTGCTAGGTTTCAGCTTGACTCGATTAGCAAGGGTTCGAAGCGGTTGGAATGGGTGGTGTTCCCTTAGCAGGTGCTGTACTAAACAGTCAAGGGGGTGTTAGGTGGGATGTGATGGGATGGGGATTAGAGAAGCGACAAACTCTGCGTTGGGGGGTGGGAAGGGGGGGTGAAGAACTTGGTGTGTGCGACAGTGCGATATCGCAACTATCGCAAGCGCGCTGCGTCAATCGCTCGTTGCAACCTACACCGAAGGTTACAGCCGAGTCACTCGCTCGCTGCAACTTCACAACGACGGGAACAGTATAACATCCCCGCCAAGAGCTGCAATTGCGCCTCGATACAGAAATGTACCCATTTCGCCATTCAACACAAAGGCATAAAATGATGCCTAGCATTCGCTAGCGTTTTAGGTGTGTTGCAAATTTATCTTTGGGACTCAGGGAGAACAAAAGTTACTGTCTGGCCTGTAATCAGGTTACAAAGCACAATCAAAGTCGTTATTTTGGCCTAAAATAGGTCCACTATACAACGACTTTGATCGTCTTATTAGCATTCACCCTTTCCTTGTTGTGGTTATCTCGGGCATTCCTGCACCCCCTAAACCTCCTTAACAACGGAGGCTCAACCCCCCTTCTCTTCCTTGCACCTCCATCACTCCCTCTATGTGGCTCGCTGCCCTTCGTGTCTCTCTCTTTCTATCCCAACCCAATGGTGGAAGTGAAGCTTGTCTCGCTCAGCATCCAACCGATCGATTTGTTGGCGTAACCACGGCGCAGAATGGCAAAAATCGGTCACACTTGACGATCAGTCGAGCAAGAGCGATTGTCCCCGGCGAGATGACATCAACGGCTCTCTTTGCGCGGGCAAAGAAAAAGGTCGGTCGTACGAGTGCGTACGCGTTGGTGCATGTACAGTTATTTACATATGCGTCGCGTACGAGTGTGTACGGTAGGTAGACGCACTACGTGCATGAAGGCATACGTACGCATGCATACGTATGTCTACGCGCGTCTAGGTTAAATAGGTAGGTACCAGACATGCGAGTATTCATGCATATACGCATGCAGATGCGCACGTTCCTTAATATTCAGCTCATTATTCCAGAGCTAATTTATCATTGATTTGTTGACCTACATGCATAAGCTCCAGATTACACAAACATATTTGTCAACTTACATGTGTAGCTTGTAAATCAGCAAAATCGGTTCTGTTTACTGCCATGTGGAAAGCTGTAGTTTTGCAAGATACTGTTTTGCTGTTCTCGTTTTGGGCACAGCTGACGAGCGAAACCTATTCGCGCTGCGAATTTGTCACTGTAAATGCTGGCACATTCACTTTGGGTCGCGCTCGCTGTATCGGAGTGTCGGACTGCATATACGCATGGCACCCAAACCGACTTTCCGACTTTGTCACTGCGCTGCCGACGTAGCACTGTGCAGAACGCTACTTCAGTACATCCACTTTGCACCACGAACCCACGTTCGTTCAGGGGGACCAAGCAAGCCAGAAAGTGCACGAAACGTGATGTGAGTGGGCTGGGCTCACAATCGCTCACCTAACTCCCACTCTCGTTTTTCAGACCTCGATTCTTATCATCCGCCACTCTATCTCAACTCAACATCCGAGCCTCTCTTCTAGATCGCCCTCCGCCATGGGGCATGGCATCACCATTTCGTAAGCCTTCTTTCTTAGTTGGAGTCACGCTATCGTAGTTTCGTTTTTCAGATCTCGTTTCAATCTCAAGCCATTCTACTCAAGAGCGCAGCCTCTCTTTTGGATCGCCGTCCGCCATGGGCCATGGCATTAGTATTTCGTAAGCCCGCTTTCTTACTCACGCTATCTTCAGTCTTGTTTCCCGTAATTTCGTTTTCTTTGTAGATTCCCTCTTCTTAGCTCCGTTTGTTCCGATTTCTGCTTGTCCTTGTTCCTGCTGACGTGTGCATGGTCATGGCAGGCACGCTGCAGCCAGCACAAGCTCGTCATCTGCCGTTCCAGGAGCCAGCAGCAATGCGGCATTCCACATCCAAAATCTGCCACCAAACATGGCGATTTCCGAATAGTTCCGCTTCGGGGCACCGATGCCACACTGCTGTCACGCCGATTGCCATGCCGCTGACACGCCAACGACAATGACGCCGCTGCTCATGGCGCTCTGGCGGCGCATGGCGCGGCCGTGGCGGACAGCAGAGGCGCATGGCGCGGCTCTGGCGGACAGCAGAGCCGGTGCCAGTGCAGCCTCCATGCGCCTCCAGGCGCTCAAATCACAACGCGTCGCCAGGTACAAGAAAAAGACTAAACACAACTGAAACATGAGAGCATGACAAAAAAAAAGAAGCATGTATATAAAAAACAATAAGATCCAATATAGATATTATTGGGAAAACAATTCGCCCTTTCCCCAAACCACTTATATCCTGCCTGATGCTTCGTCATCCCCTGCTAGGTGCCTTGAGACGATGAAAGGAGTGGAATTTTTCAATTGAAAGGAAAGAAACATCAAATTCTGTTTTCCCATATTATTATTACTTGCCCCATTCATTTCCCCACCGAACTTACCCTGCCCATTCTCTCTCCCCCCTCCTCTTACTCTGAACCCGAAACCCTACAACCAGGCTACCCCTTCCAGCATGAGCCACTGCAGCACGTGGTGTTGATGGCGTATGGGGTGGGTCGGCCACCCCATGGACGCCGGCTCAGCCCTCCACGCGGGCGGCTCAGCCCTCCACGCGGGCGGCTCAGCCCTCCACGCGGGCAGCTCAGCCCTCCACGCGGGCGGCTCAGCCCTCCACGCGCCGCTGTCGAGCACCTCGCCTCCTCGCCTCGCCGCCCCATGGTGAGAGAAGAACGGAAACAACGACTCAAGAAACAACCAGAACAAGAACTAAGAACAGAAACAAGAACATACAAGAACTAAACATAGTATCATTCATATGATACCCTCAACCCTTCTTGAGACATGTTACCCATCCCCTTGTCTCTCCCCTCTGTTTTGATTCATGTGACCCATCCCCTCCTCTCTCTCCTTTGTTTTTAGTCATGTAACCCACCCCCTCAACTCCCCTCCCCTTCCCTCCCTCCCCCTGTTTCAGCAGCTGCCAGAGCAGCGCGTGGTGTGACGGATGGTGCAGCACGGAGTGGGGGTGCAGGGCATAATTTTGTGAGGTGTTTCACTCACCCCCTCCCCTCTGTCCTCCCCTTTCCAGCAGGTGCCAGTGCTGCGCATGTTGTTTTGCGGTGTGTCACACACCTCCTCCTCTCTGTCCTCCCCTTTCCAGCGGGTGCCAGTGCTGCGCATGTTGTTTTGCGGTGTGTCACACACCTCCTCCTCTCTGTCCTCCCCTTTCCAGCAGGTGCCAGTGCTGCGCATGTTGTTTTGCGGTGTGTCACACACCTCCTCCTCTCTGTCCTCCCCTTTCCACCAGGTGCCAGTGCTGCGCATGCTGAGGTGTGTCACTCACCCCCTCGTCTCATACCTCCCCTTTCCAGCAGGTGGGAGTGCAGGGCATAATTTTTCGAGGTGTCTCACTCACCCCCTCCCCTCTGTCCTCCCCTTTCCAGAAGGTGGCAGTGCAGGGCGCATAATGTTTTGAGATGTGTCACTCATCCCCTCCTCTCCTTCCTCCCCATATTTCCAGTTTGTTTGTTTTAGTTTGATTGCTTGCTTGTTCTTGTTCATGTGTGCATTCTTTGCTTAAGGGGCGGTAAGGGGGCATGGGGAACGTTGAGACATCCAGGCCACCCTCTCCCCTCCCCTTTCTGCCAGGTACCAGTGCAGCGCTTGCCTATTTGAGCATGTCTCACCCACCCCCTCCCCTCTTTCCCCACTTCCCCCCTTCTGCCAGGTGCCTTCCCATGCCCTGCATGGTGCCTTCTCATGCCCTGCCCAGTAAATTCTCATGCCCTGCATGGTGCCTTGGCATGCCCTGCCAGGTGCATTCGCATTCCCTCATGGTGCCTTCTCATTTCCTGCCAGGTAAGAGGGTCAGGGGGTTTAGGGTGCTCCCCCCGCTCACTTGCCCTGCTCCCCCCGCTCACTTGCTCTGCTCCCCCACCCCAACTCCTCCCCTCCCCTTGTGCAGGTGCCAGAAAGATGCATGAATGTATGAACACAAAAGCAAAACAATGTACTAGGGCACATAAAAATCATATGCCTTCTCATTCCCTCAAGGTGCCTTGCCGTTCCCTGCATGATGCCTTCTCATTCCTTGCATGATGCCATTTTCCTCCCCTTTCCAGCAGGTGCCAGTGCAAGGCATAATGTTTTGAGGTGTCACACTCAACACCTCCCCTCTGTCCTCCCGTTTCCAGCAGGTGCCAGTGTAGCGCATGTTGATTGAAGAGGTCTCACTCACCCCGTCCCCTCTTTCCATCCCAATATTTCCTGTTTGTTTGTTTGTTTGTTTGTTTCAGTTTGTTTTGCTTGCTTGTTTGTTGTTCCTGTGTGCATTCTTTCTCAAGGGGGGGGTGTAAGGGGGCATGGGGAACTGTGAGACGTCCAAGCCACCCTCTCCCCTCCCCTTTCTGCCAGCTGCCACTGCAGCGCCTGCCCATTTGAGCTTGTCTCACCCACCCCCTCCCCTCTTTCCCCACTTTCCCCCTTCTGCCAGGTGCCTTCTCATGCCCTGCAAGGTGCCTTCGCATGTTGCACGGTGCCTTCTCATGCCCTGCATGGTGCCTGTTGATGCCCTGGCAGGTGGATTTGCATTCCTTGCATGGTGAATTTCATTTCCTGCCAGGTAAGGGGGTAAGGGGGTTTAGGGTGCTCCCCCCGCTCACTTGCCCTGCTCCCCCCGCTCACTTGCTCTGCTCCCCCACCCCGACTCCTCCCCTCCCCTTGCGCAGGTGCCAGTTTCTCCTGTCGCCAAGATGAAGATACTTTGCACAGGGAGCAGATGCGTTGCCAGCTGCTTGTGTGCCCGTCCCTGATCATCCATGCGCGGGACATGAGAGAGGACAAGGGAGAGAAACAGAAGCAGGGAGGAGCGCAGCGCCATGCCATGCTGCATGCCCCACCAATTCAGCCGCATGTGCGTTGTGAGTCGCCTCAGAGCATGCACTGCACACCTTGCCATATCCCACACACCTGCCATCCCACCATGCCCTCACACCTCCTGCCATCCCCTCACTTGGTCTGCTCCCCCCGCTCACTTGCTCCGCTCCCCCTCTCCCCCACCCCAACTCCCCCCCTCCCCTTGCGCAGGTGCCAGCTTCCCTCCTATCGCCAAGATGAAGACACTTGGCTTGCGATGTGCAGAGTGGTAGGAGGGATGAATCTGATCACGTTAAGAACATAAATGTATGTGCCTGTTGTTATACATGCAGGGGGAGGGGGGGGGGGGGGGGAAGTGCAGGTTTGGTTTGGGCCAGGTTTGGGATATGAAAGAGTGGCAGAAACGGAAACAGGGAGTAGATGTGTTGCCACCTGCTTGTGTTCAGCCATGCGCAGGGCGGGACATGAGGGAGAAGAAGAGAGAGAAACAGATGCACAAGGAGGGAGCGCATGTGCCATTTTCTCCTGTCGACAACATGAGGCTATTTGCTACGACGCGTAGAGTGATAGATGACTGATAGATTTGATGACCTAGCGAATGTGAATGTATGTGCTTGTTATTATATACGCAGGCGGGCAGAGAAAGCGGGGAGGGGTGAGGGAAAAGGGAGGGGAGTGGGGAGCAGAAGCAGAACAGAAGAGGGAGTGGTGGATGAGCTCCTGGCTCTCTGTGCTGTGCGCCCCTCCCTGGTTGGCCATATCATGCCATGCCATGCCATGCCCGGGAGGGATATGATAGATAGGAAGCACAAAGAAGAAGCAGAAGCAGGAATGTGATATGACAGGGAGCAGATATGCATGGGCCATGCCCAGGGATTTCCAGGGCGGTTCGAGGGGGGCTGTGAGGGGCTGTGAGGAGAATTGGGGGGTAGGGGGGCCTTAGGGGGGCCTTGGGGGGGCTGTGGGGGGGTTTTTTCAGGATTTTAGGGGGGTTTCCCCCTCTCTTGTACCCCATCTCTGCTTATTAATCAATCACAAACAAGCTTTCTGCCATCACCCTTCCGATTACGCTCATGTTGTCGCCTTGCCGCCTGAGGGAGGTGGAGGGGAGTAAGGGGGGAAGGGAGAGGAGGGCAGAAGGGAGAGCAAGGGGGGATGAGAGAGACGATATGCGCTGCTTGTTTTGATTTGCACACTGAAGGAGAGTGTGAGAAGGAGAGTGAGAGAAGGAGGGTGTGAGAAGGAGAGTGTGAGAAGGAGTGCCATACAGTGAAGTACTCGGATATCTTGGGCACTGCAAAGCAGAAGCGTTGCAAGGAATGTGATCCAGATGATCCAGGTGGTCCGGGGCCCTCCTCCTGAAATACGTATGTCAAGATGTTGACCAGAGTGGGAGCCAGGGCAGTGTATGTAAGGGGTGGTGTATGTAGGGGTGGGCAGGGCAGGTGCAAACGTAGGGGATAACGAGTGACAGAAATTGAAGGGAGAGTGAGAATTGAATGAAAGAGGGGGACAAAGAAGAAAAGTGGCACAAGTTCACTGCAGGTAGGCAGGATAAGTGACCAGCACAGGGGGGTGAAGTGACAAGGGCAGGCGGGTGAAGTGACAAGGGCAGGCGGGTGAAGTGACAAGGGCAGGCGGGTGAAGTGACAAGGGCAGGGGGGTGAAGTGATGAGACCTGCTTTCTAAGGTCAAAACAAGGGCCCATTGCTGACCTTCTAATACTCACCGACACGGCATGCCTCATGCGCCGACCTGTTGTGTGAAACCTGCCCCATCCTCACACCACACATCAAATCAAGCACTAGACCAACACCCCCATGCCCTCTCACACACCTCCTCTGCAGCAGGGCTACTGGCATCACTACCCACCAGCAGCACAAGCAGCATGTTCAGGAGTCATCTCAGACCACACCTCAACACCAGACCAACACCCTCATGACTCACTTCCCCTGCTGCACGGCTGCTGGCGTCACTCCCCACCACCAGCACCAGCACCAGCATCAGCAGCAGCAGCATATCCAACCACATGCGAGTGATTCGACTCAAAGCACACCTCGACCACTACACTGGCACGCCCATTGCCCTGTCACCTCACCCATCTGCTCTACAGCAGGGCTACTGGCGTCACGCCCCACCACCAGCACAAGGCTATCAGCAGCGAGTCCAGCACCTACACACCCCGTGCCCTGCTCTGCTGCACCACTCACCTGCTCTGCTGCACCACTCACCTGCTCTGCTGCACTACTCACCTGCTCTGCTGCACCACTCACCTGCTCTGCTGCACCACTCACCTGCTCTGCTGCACCACTCACCTGCTCTGCTGCACCACTCACCTGCTCTGCTGCACCACTCACCTGCTCTGCTGCACCACTCACCTGCTCTGCTGCACCACTCACCTGCTCTGCTGCACCACTCACCTGCTCTGCTGCACCACTCACCTGCTCTGCTGCACCACTCACCTGCTCTGCTGCACCACTCACCTGCTCTGCTGCACCACTCACCTGCTCTGCTGCACCACTCACCTGCTCTGCTGCACCACTCACCTGCTCTGCTGCACCACTCACCTGCTCTGCTGCACCACTCACCTGCTCTGCTGCACCACTCACCTGCTCTGCCGCACCACTCACCTGCTCTGCTGCACCACTCACCTGCTCTGCCGCACCACTCACCTGCTCTGCTGCACCACTCACCTGCTCTGCTGCACCACTCACCTACCTACCCACTGTTCTTCCTCCCCTGTAGCCTCGCATACCTTCCTGGGCCCTGCAGCGCGCAGCATGTCACATGCACTGATGGCGTCTGCTTGAGTCCGGATGCTGCGAGGGAAATGCTGGAGAAATGACTTGGGAGAAATGCTGGAGAGATGACTTGGGAGTCATAAACGGCAGCACTTGACACTCGTGGTGCTGGGGAGTAGGGTAGATCAGGTACCTCGGAAGCTGAGAATGATAGGGCTTTAAGACCAACACGCTAGAGCTCTGAAGATATTTACATGAGGCCTGTGAGAAATTCCCCGAGCCTGTGGTGGCTGCTCCTGCTGGCCGTCTAGCAGATCTACCTCCCCCAGGTCCGCCTTCCCCGGATGGCGCACGCGCGGATGCGTACGGATAAGCGGCGGAGAGAAGTCGGGGGAGGGGAGTGCGGAGAGGGCGGCGGAAGGCGTGGGCGCGCTGGGGGACGCCGCCTGCTGCTTCGCCGCGGACTCGCGCATGCTGCGCAGGCGAGAGCGGCGCGCCTCTGCGTCCTCCATGGCTACTCGGCGGGAGACAAGTACGGTCCGCGTCACGCGCTGTGGACGGAGAGCGCGCGCAGCGCGGGGAGGGACTAGGGACGGAAGGAACGCGGCGATAGAGCGGAAAGCTGAGGGAAACTATCTAAGTAAGGGCGATACCCGCCTGGTCCGTTTTTACGCGATGTGGGCGGAGAGCGCGCGCAGTGGCTCTGCGTCCTCCATGATGCTTGACAAGAGAGCTCGGTACGGCCAACCTTGAAAATCACTTCGTCGTCAAATAGACTTATACACAACAAATTCAATACAACACAGGACCAGTAGCGTAACTTTCTCTTTCAAAATACCATTAAGCAACACCTTGTGGGTTCGATTCCCGCCTGGTCCTTTTCTTGGTGTTAATTGTGCTCAGGAAAGTGCCTCACCCGGCCAAAATCAGTTGAGCGTTCTCTTTTTACAGTACATTCAACTCAGCTCTCAGTTGTCAGCTGAGCATCAACTCCCTTATCCTGCAGCACCCCTACACTGTCACTGCTCACCAAGGCACTTTCACCATCTTGCAATCCATCCAAACCATCTACACCGCTTTCAACCGCTTGTGCACGTAACACAACAGGCGGGCTTATATAGTCATCACGGCTCTGAACGAGGCAGAGCTCCAGGCGCTTGGGAGTGGGGGGAGTGGGAGAGGACTCGGTGCCGTCCAGAGGTGGAGAGCGGTGCTGCAAGGTTCGTGCGAGCACAGCCTGTAGGGAGAAAGAATGGGAGGAGAGGAGCAATCAGGTCAGGAAGGTTGCAATGCCACGGGTTGCCAATGCCAACTCTGCTGATATAGCTTGCCTCAAAGCCATGGACAGCCCAGTGCCACTGCCAGCTCTGCTGTTGAAACAGAAAAGCTAGACAAACATTGAAAACACAGCAGAGCATCAACAAACACAAGCACGAGGCGCAACAGCAGCTGCTCACCTGTAGAGATGCCACTGCTAGATCCGCTGCTCTAGCCAAGTCGTGAGGATACTTCTGATGAAAGGAGGGAGAGAGGGAGGGAAGGAGGGAGGGAAAGAGGGAGAGAGGGAGGGAAGGAGGGAGGGAAAGAGGGAGAGAGGGAGGTAAGGAGGGAGGGAAAGAGGGAGAGAGGGGGGAAAGGAAAGTGTGTGAGGCAGAGAATGGAAGGAGAGGAGCTGAGAGAATGAGGAGCAGATTGAGTCAATGTAGGGAAGGAGGGAGGGAAAGAGGGAGAGAGGGAGGGAAGGAGGGAGGGAAAGAGGGAGAGAGGGGGGAAAGGAAAGTGTGTGAGGGAGAAAATAGAAGGAGAGGAGCTGAGAGAATGAGGAGCAGATTGAGTCAATGTAACCAGAAGAGTGAGATGTAACCAGCACTGTGAGATGTAACCAGCACTGTGAGATGTAACACTGTGAGATGTAACCAGCACTGTGAGATGTAACCAGCACTGTGAGATGTAACCAGCACTGTGAGATGTAACCAGCACTGTGAGATGTAACCAGCACTATGAGATGTAACCAGCACTGTGAGATGTAACCAGCACTGTGAGATGTAACCAGCACTGTGAGATGCAGCACCGTGCTGCAACTGCCCCACTCACATGTGACCATCCAAGCAGCAATGCTGTCATCAAATCTCCTGTTCCCTGCATATGGGATGGCATGGGGGATGGCATGTGGGTTCGAATGTAGGACTGAGACGCAATGAGATGCTTGCCATGCGGCAACGGATTACATGAGACCATCCAAGCAGCAATGCTGTCACTAAATCCCCTTTTCCCTGCATGTGTGGCGTTGAAGTGGGATGGCATGGGGGATGGTATGGGGGAAGGCATGGGGGATGGTATGGGGGATGGGATATGTAAGGCGTGTCACATGGTATGTAAAACGGCATGAGGTATGGCATTTGAAAGGGCATGTGAGTTGGCAGTTGGGAGTGGCGCGCACTTTGCTGCCTGACGTGGCGCACTCAGCTTAGTATTTTCAATAATGGGAGCGAGCGCTGTATGCAGGTGGGAGTAACGCGCGCTGCTCTCTGGGGTGGCGCGCACTACTCTCCGGTAGTGGGAAGCGCGGCTGCTGATGTGCGCGCAAGGACTCAAACAGATCTGATGGTGCGTAGAAGATTGGGCGATCATAGGCGGGTCCAGTGCAACCCGTCAACGGATCGGTTTGACCCGACCCGATTGACATATGAATCTACGGGTCGCAAGTCGACTTGACCGGGTCCGGTCGGCCTGTCCTGGACCCGACCCGACGACCCAACCTGTCAGGTCAAAATGCCCATGTCTGATGTGGAATGGCATGTGAGGGGGCATGTGAAATGGCATGACAAGAGGCATGGTAAGTGTAAGAGAAATTGCATAGCCATGTGCGATGTGCTGTTTCGAAGCTACAGGTGATCATGCATCTGGAACCCACCGGTGAGCAGGTGCGTGTAGAAGAGCAGCCCATTGGCCTCCACGCCCTCTATCAGCGCCCCCAGCTGCTCTCCATCCAGAATCTGCCCCTTCCACGTGGGGTACCCTGCATGGGATTGATGGGGCATGGAGCGGGCAGGCAAGCAGGGAACAGAGGGATGACAGACATGGGTTACCCTGCACACACGGGATGCATGAACCTCAAGGCGCTCGTGTCACAGAGTAGAGACAAGGGCCCCTCTTACCACTATATGCGCCAGTGTGGTTACCAACATTCACACCAGTGCAGTTGCCAACATTCGCACCAGTGTGGTTACCAACAGTCACACCAGTGTGGTTACCACCACCGGTGTGGTGACCACTATATGCACCAGTGCAGTTAACAACATGCACCAGTGCAGTTACCAACATGCACCAGTGCAGTTACCACCAACATGCACCGGTGCAGTTACCACCAACATGCACCGGTGCAGTTACCACCAACATGCACCGGTGCAGTTACCACCAACATGCACCGGTGCAGTTACCAACATGCACCAGTGGAGTTACCAACATGCACCGGTGCAGTTACCACCAACATGCACCGGTGACACAGCAGGGTGGGGAGGGCTTACCACTCTCACCAGTGTGGTTACCAGGTAACTAGCAGCATTGCACTAGTGTGGTTATTAGGTACCCAACACCATTGCGCCAGTTCAGTTACCAAGTAACCAACAGCATCGTACCAGTGTGGTTGGAGAGCTGCACGGAGTTGAGGGGGGCCACATCAAAGCCCAGCAGCTGCAGGGTGGGGAGTGGTTACCACTCTCGCCAATGTGCGGTTACCATGAAGCACCCATGTGGTTACCACTATGCACACCAACGCAGTTACCAACATTCTCGCCAGTGCGGTTGGAGAGCTGCACGGAGTTGAGGGGGGGCACATCGAAGCCCAGCAACGTGGGGAGGGCTTACCATTCTCACCAATATGGTTACCAGGTAACCAACCAACAGCATCGCACCAGTGTGGTTGGAGAGCTGCACGGAGTTGATTGGGTCCACATCGAAGCCCAGCAGTTGCAGGGGGAAGACCGCCGCCTTGTTGCCCACATACCCCTGGTGCATTCACGCATAAGCGGTGGGGGAGAAGTCGGGGGAGGGGAGTGCGGAGAGGGCGGCGGAAGGCGTGGGCGCGCCGGGGGACGCCGCCTGCTGCTTCGCCGCGGACTCGCGCATGCCACGCAGGCGAGAGCGGCGCGCCTGAGTGCACGAGCACGTGAGCGCACGCAAGCACGGCGCAAGTGCGCGTGAGCGCATGGAAAGCACGGTGCACGGGCGCGTGGGCGCACGGAAAGCAAAGCGCAGGATCGCGTGGGCGCACGGAAAGCAGGGTGCAGGAGCGCGTGAGCGCACAGAAAGGACGGCACACGTGCGTGTGGGCACACGGAACGCACGGCGCAGGAGCGCGTGGGCGCACGTAAAGCAGGGCGCACGGGCGCGTGGGCCCGTGAGCGACTTACAGCAGGCTGTTGCTGTTGCTTTGCGCCATGGCGTTGATGCGATTGCCGCACACACGCCCCATTGCACGATCACGTCACGCCTAGGGTTACACGGGCCCGATTGCACCGCGCTAAGGTGATAAGAGCGACTCGTGACAGCTGGAACGATGTGCGAGATACCTATCCGACGCTGCACTGCTAGGCTAGTCAGGTCAGGGTGTGCGGGGATAGCGAGGAGGAGCCTTATCTCTGCCCACGCATTCTAACTAGAAGCGTCACCATCTGAATCTAAACAAACAGCTAATTACGACCAACAGCTAAATACAATCCGAACGAACAGCTAATTAGAGTCCCACTCCCAAGGGGGAGTGTTCGATTTCTTCTGCTAGGTTTCAGCTTGACTCGATTAGCAAGGGTTCGAAGCGGTTGGAATGGGTGGTGTTCCATCTGGTAGGTGCTGTACTAAACAGTCAAGGGGGTGTTAGGTGGGATGTGATGGGATGGGGATTAGAGAAGCGACAAACTCTGCGTTGGGGGGTGGGAAGGGGGGGTGAAGAACTTGGTGCGTGCGACAGCGCGATATCGCAACTATCGCAAGCGCGCTGCGTCAATCGCTCGTTGCAACCTACACCGAAGGTTACAGCCGAGTCACTCGCTCGCTGCAACTTCACAACGACGGGAACAGTATAACATCCCCGCCAAGAGCTGCAATTGCGCCTCGATACAGAACTGTACCCATTTCGCCATTCAACACAAAGGCATAAAATGATGCCTAGCATTCGCTAGCGTTTCAGGTGTGTTGCAAATTTATCTTTGGGACTCAGGGAGAACAAAAGTTACTGTCTGGCCTGTAATCAGGTTACAAAGCACAATCAAAGTCGTTATTTTGGCCTAAAATAGGTCCACTATACAACGACTTTGATCGTCTTATTAGCATTCACCCTTTCCTTGTTGTGGTTATCTCGGGCATTCCTGCACCCCCTAAACCTCCTTAACAACGGAGGCTCAACCCCCCTTCTCTTCCTTGCACCTCCATCACTCCCTCTATGTGGCTCGCTGCCCTTCGTGTCTCTCTCTTTCTATCCCAACCCAATGGTGGAAGTGAAGCTTGTCTCGCTCAGCATCCAACCGATCGATTTGTTGGCGTAACCACGGCGCAGAATGGCAAAAATCGGTCACACTTGACGATCAGTCGAGCAAGAGCGATTGTCCCCGGCGAGATGACATCAACGGCTCTCTTTGCGCGGGCAAAGAAAAAGGTCGGTCGTACGAGTGCGTACGCGTTGGTGCATGTACAGTTATGTACATATGCGTCGCGTACGAGTGTGTACGGTAGGTAGACGCACTACGTGCATGAAGGCATACGTACGCATGCATACGTATGTCTACGCGCGTCTAGGTTAAATAGGTAGGTACCAGACATGCGAGTATTCATGCATATACGCATGCAGATGCGCACGCTCCTTAATATTCAGCTCATTATTCCAGAGCTAATTTATCATTGATTTGTTGACCTACATGCATAAGCTCCAGATTACACAAACATATTTGTCAACTTACATGTGTAGCTTGTAAATCAGCAAAATCGGTTCTGTTTACTGCCATGTGGAAAGCTGTAGTTTTGCAAGATACTGTTTTGCTGTTCTCGTTTTGGGCACAGCTGACGAGCGAAACCTATTCGCGCTGCGAATTTGTCACTGTAAATGCTGGCACATTCACTTTGGGTCGCGCTCGCTGTATCGGAGTGTCGGACTGCATATACGCAGGGCACCCAAACCGACTTTCCGACTTTGTCACTGCGCTGCCGACGTAGCACTGTGCAGAACGCTACTTCAGTACATCCACTTTGCACCACGAACCCACGTTCGTTCAGGGGGACCAAGCAAGCCAGAAAGTGCACGAAACGTGATGTGAGTGGGCTGGGCTCACAATCGCTCACCTAACTCCCACTCTCGTTTTTCAGACCTCGATTCTTATCATCCGCCACTCTATCTCAACTCAACATCCGAGCCTCTCTTCTAGATCGCCCTCCGCCATGGGGCATGGCATCACCATTTCGTAAGCCTTCTTTCTTAGTTGGAGTCACGCTATCGTAGTTTCGTTTTTCAGATCTCGTTTCAATCTCAAGCCATTCTACTCAAGAGCGCAGCCTCTCTTTTGGATCGCCGTCCGCCATGGGCCATGGCATTAGTATTTCGTAAGCCCGCTTTCTTACTCACGCTATCTTCAGTCTTGTTTCCCGTAATTTCGTTTTCTTTGTAGATTCCCTCTTCTTAGCTCCGTTTGTTCCGATTTCTGCTTGTCCTTGTTCCTGCTGACGTGTGCATGGTCATGGCAGGCACGCTGCAGCCAGCACAAGCTCGTCATCTGCCGTTCCAGGAGCCAGCAGCAATGCGGCATTCCACATCCAAAATCTGCCACCAAACATGGCGATTTCCGATTAGTTCCGCTTCGGGGCACCGATGCCACACTGCTGTCACGCCGATTGCCATGCCGCTGACACGCCAACGACAATGACGCCGCTGCTCATGGCGCTCTGGCGGCGCATGGCGCGGCCGTGGCGGACAGCAGAGGCGCATGGCGCGGCTCTGGCGGACAGCAGAGCCGGTGCCAGTGCAGCCTCCATGCGCCTCCAGGCGCTCAAATCACAACGCGTCGCCAGGTACAAGAAAAAGACTAAACACAACTGAAACATGAGAGCATGACAAAAAAAAAGAAGCATGTATATAAAAAACAATAAGATCCAATATAGATATTATTGGGAAAACAATTCGCCCTTTCCCCAAACCACTTATATCCTGCCTGATGCTTCGTCATCCCCTGCTAGGTGCCTTGAGACGATGAAAGGAGTGGAATTTTTCAATTGAAAGGAAAGAAACATCAAATTCTGTTTTCCCATATTATTATTACTTGCCCCATTCATTTCCCCACCGAACTTACCCTGCCCATTCTCTCTCCCCCCTCCTCTTACTCTGAACCCGAAACCCTACAACCAGGCTACCCCTTCCAGCATGAGCCACTGCAGCACGTGGTGTTGATGGCGTATGGGGTGGGTCGGCCACCCCATGGACGCCGGCTCAGCCCTCCACGCGGGCGGCTCAGCCCTCCACGCGGGCGGCTCAGCCCTCCACGCGGGCGGCTCAGCCCTCCACGCGGGCAGCTCAGCCCTCCACGCGGGCGGCTCAGCCCTCCACGCGCCGCTGTCGAGCACCTCGCCTCCTCGCCTCGCCGCCCCATGGTGAGAGAAGAACGGAAACAACGACTAAAGAAACAACCAGAACAAGAACTAAGAACAGAAACAAGAACATACAAGAACTAAACATAGTATCATTCATATGATACCCTCAACCCTTCTTGAGACATGTTACCCATCCCCTTGTCTCTCCCCTCTGTTTTGATTCATGTGACCCATCCCCTCCTCTCTCTCCTTTGTTTTTAGTCATGTAACCCACCCCCTCAACTCCCCTCCCCTTCCCTCCCTCCCCCTGTTTCAGCAGCTGCCAGAGCAGCGCGTGGTGTGACGGATGGTGCAGCACGGAGTGGGGGTGCAGGGCATAATTTTGTGAGGTGTTTCACTCACCCCCTCCCCTCTGTCCTCCCCTTTCCAGCAGGTGCCAGTGCTGCGCATGTTGTTTTGCGGTGTGTCACACACCTCCTCCTCTCTGTCCTCCCCTTTCCAGCAGGTGCCAGTGCTGCGCATGTTGTTTTGCGGTGTGTCACACACCTCCTCCTCTCTGTCCTCCCCTTTCCAGCAGGTGCCAGTGCTGCGCATGTTGTTTTGCGGTGTGTCACACACCTCCTCCTCTCTGTCCTCCCCTTTCCAGCAGGTGCCAGTGCTGCGCATGCTGAGGTGTGTCACTCACCCCCTCGTCTCATACCTCCCCTTTCCAGCAGGTGGGAGTGCAGGGCATAATGTTTCGAGGTGTCTCACTCACCCCCTCCCCTCTGTCCTCCCCTTTCCAGAAGGTGGCAGTGCAGGGCGCATAATGTTTTGAGATGTGTCACTCATCCCCTCCTCTCCTTCCTCCCCATATTTCCAGTTTGTTTGTTTTAGTTTGATTGCTTGCTTGTTCTTGTTCATGTGTGCATTCTTTGCTTAAGGGGCGGTAAGGGGGCATGGGGAACGTTGAGACATCCAGGCCACCCTCTCCCCTCCCCTTTCTGCCAGGTACCAGTGCAGCGCTTGCCTATTTGAGCATGTCTCACCCACCCCCTCCCCTCTTTCCCCACTTTCCCCCTTCTGCCAGGTGCCTTCCCATGCCCTGCATGGTGCCTTCGCATGTTGCACGGTGCCTTCTCATGCCCTGCATGGTGCCTTGGCATGCCCTGCCAGGTGCATTCGCATTCCCTCATGGTGCCTTCTCATTTCCTGCCAGGTAAGAGGGTCAGGGGGTTTAGGGTGCTCCCCCCGCTCACTTGCCCTGCTCCCCCCGCTCACTTGCTCTGCTCCCCCACCCCAACTCCTCCCCTCCCCTTGTGCAGGTGCCAGAAAGATGCATGAATGTATGAACACAAAAGCAAAACAATGTACTAGGGCACATAAAAATCATATGCCTTCTCATTCCCTCAAGGTGCCTTGCCGTTCCCTGCATGATGCCTTCTCATTCCTTGCATGATGCCATTTTC